CCGCAAAATGGGAAGGGCCGGTCGCCTTTTGGAGACCCGGAAGGACCCATCGAGGCTGCCCCTATGGTTAGATGCTCGCAATTTGGTGTATACCTAGGTCCTCCAGTAGAGAAATTAGAATAAGGGTACCCTTTTTTCTGTCGTCTACTTTAGTAGGGGAACCCTCCCCAGAAAAAGGGTAAAAGAGACTACTGGGAGTCGTGCAAGATACAATACATGCTTGCAGACTATTCGGAACAGCTGAGCCACGTTGGGTATTCATTGTGTCCCCCAATTGCATGCATCAATTTGCTTCGTAGCCCCTCCCCCGCTTTCTTGCGGCAACTTGGTGACAGTACGTCATTGTCATCCTTTGCGGCAGGAATTGATAGTGAATGTTGACCTGGGTACAGTAGTCTGACCTTTTCTAGGCGTTGCTAAAGTCAAAAAAGCGAGTTGTTTTCCCCGAAAGCTACTGCCAAAGGGCCAAAACAAAAACAAGAGTAAAATCCTGATGCCAGTATCATCCAGTCGCGCAGTGCGAAACACACCCATCCATTGACTATTGGTCGTACCATGGCGATGACTTTTTTCATTGGGCCCCTGAGGCTGGGAGCTGAATTTTTCCCATTGGCACACAGAGGCCTTTTCCCCACCCTACAAGTCTCGGGGGAAACCTTTTAAAGAGGTTCTGCTCGAAGGCTTCTGAACTGGCCTCATGATGTTATCACAACTGCAAAGTGCGATGAAGGGCCCAGTTGCTGACAAAGAAAAATAAACTGCAGCCTAATATGGAACCCCCCCCGTACCCTATCCATGATGTTTAGGGGAATCGCCTTTTGAGGGACCCTCCTTTCTGGGTTCCATGCTAATTTGTAGGGGAGTAACAGCCAGAAACAGCTCACAATGGCCCCGGAAAGGTCCTGTCTGACTCAGTGACCCCGCCTTCGGCTTGCGGGTGGAGCGGATGTTGAGGGGTCCGAACCTGACGACAACAGCCAAAGCTGAGCTCCAAGGTTCGAGCCTACCAGCCTTCACATCACCACTCTTTTCCATGCGGTGGTTTTGACAAGATCAGTTGTGCTGGTGCTCAGTTCATAGGGCGTCCAAATTCCATCCACAGTGTGCATAAATGTCTTGTGGTCAGCCCCTGTGTCTGGCCGCATGGAAGCACGAGAAAATTCCAGAGTAATTCGTCCCTTCCCCCTGACAAAAGGTGCATCCTAATATAACAGTTCCATGGATAACTGTATTTAGTATTAGTTTCCCAGCTTCAGTTTTGAGTTGGCAACGCTTAAAAGCTAGTTGTGTGCCCTTTGCAGAGGTTCGCCAAAAGCAACCAGCGCTCCGGAATGTAAGTTGAAGTAAACACAAAATACAAAGCTCATACGCTGTGAAGCGTGCAAGTTTGTGGACCTTCCGGAGGGGCCCGGTGCTCATTGGCTTCCCGTGGGTCGAAAACCTGGAGTCGACAACCATTCGGTTCCCTACCATGGCATGGTCAAAAAGGACGACAACGGGAGAGTCAACACACACACACACACAAGCACAAACACATGCACACAACGCAAACGAGCACGCACACAGATAGACTCAAGAGAGAAACAACAAACATAAGCAAACAAACAAACACACAAACACTAGCACCTTCCCACATGCACACCTGCACATGCAGACTCACATGCGGACACACACACACACACAGACACATCCAAATATAGGCAAACATACAAGAATGCGCAACTGCAGCTAATTGGAGACATCGGCGTGTGTCGAATATCATGCACAGGCGCACACGCACACAGAGACACCACACACACACACACACTGGATTTAAAAAACAACCACGACAAACCGCTAAGAAGGACGTCCAAACAGGGGGCGACTAATTATTCGTGGCTGCAGGTTGCAATGCCTGCATACACTCCACAACGCCCTTCCTCAAAAATCCCATTCCCCCTTCTCCCAGCCAAAAGAAACAAACACAAAACGGGCAGGTCTTTTGGTCAGGTTGTGTTCGGGTGTGTCGCAAACTCAATGCCCCGATGCCGTGTCTTGGCACGGACGGCGATCTCAAGCTTCGAAGCCTTCGAGCTCCATGCAACGTGACTCCGGCGATCGTGTAACTGGCTTGCAAATCAACGCCGAAGTGCGCGGGCTGCTTGACACGTGTTCATGGCCGAACTCAAGTCTAAGTCATCCATGTAACCTTGCATTCCAAACAAGTGATGCCTTGCACATGGATGCTCAACATTTTAGACTCCCAAAGTCCCTTGACTCTTGCTCCTACCTTCATATAACCCCACAAATCCACTTAGTGAATGACTCAGCGGGGGCTTTGGAGGCTCAACGGCGATCAAAATGCGCGGAGCAGCTTGAAGTCTGCGCCCAGCAGGGGGTTGCTGCATTTGCAGTCGATGTTCCCCATGGCGAGCTGAGGCTGGACCCTTTGTGGGCCAAGATCAAAAATAAGACATACTGGATGCGTCACCTCGTCTCAGTGCAGCTTGTGGCTTTGCTCGGAGAACTTTCGTTTTTTCTTTTGCACATGTTGCAGCGGTGGCTCAGTACTGGGGCCATGTGGCAAACCGGGTCGAACCGCACTTGGGACCTAAAAAAGAACCGCAGCAATGAACAAGCAAGCAGCGTCCAAACATGCTGCGCCAACGCGTATCATGGTCAACAGAAGCTGGGATCAAAATGCCGTATCTGCTTGCAGCTCGGAAACCCTGTGAGTGAGTCTCCGGAAACATGTTCCGTATGTCCGACCCAAACCTTCGCAAATCCCCTCCAGACTCAAACGCAATACCAGTCAGTGGTTTTCCTGTTCACCCTCTTTTTGGAAAATGAAGGGAACCCGCTAATTCACAGCGCTTCTACACTACAGCCGGGAGGAATGTTATTCTCCATTTGTAGTCTAAGGCTCAATCTTGAACCCGGCCCCTATGAATGCATCTTCTAGCTGCGGATGTTAGTGAACACAATAAAGGTGCGTCCCAGGTAGCCTTCGCCAAAGCAAGACATCCATCCCTCGATCAAAGTATGTTAGAAGACCGGGCAAAAACCCGTTGCCAGCTAATTGCAAGACCAGTGTCTCCAATAACGGTTGCATATCAGCCAGCAGAATCTGTGCGAGATCTCTGGATTGTGACGGGTTGGGACATCAATTGCCGGGCCCAGCAAAGCAGCTTGGGATACCGACCGACAGGGTTCAGGAACCTTCCAAGCGGGGAGCACTCTTTTAAAATTGTCCAACCTTGGGGTGAACTAAAAACCAATATTTTGATGTTTTAGATTACCTAATCACATTTGGTTAAGGTTACTCCCTTGGAATTTAAGATGAAGCCTGAGAAGGCGGGGGCCCGAAAACGCAATTCCTCTAGAAATGACGGTTCCACAGTATCAATGACAGCAGGAGCAGGGACCTCTGAGACACAGCCACGTGGGTGTAATGTCCGCCGACCCCGTCAGGAAACAGAAACGGCGGCTATGAGGGCCCCTGCTTTTGCTGGTTTAGGTGAATTCATATTATGTAGTATGAAGATAGTTGTTTAGCTTGCATTCCTTTCCATGAAGGATTCTCACAGAAACCTTTGATCAAACCCTTTCTTCAGAGCTTCTCTCAGCATCTGTAGTTTTGCACTCGGCTCTTCAAGGGGGAGGGGGAGGGCGTGTATTTTTTGAGAAAAAACACAAAACACATCAACATGTTCAATCTCGTTGTTGTTTGTTTTTTCCCCCCCCTTTCCGCAACCCCCTCCGGCAAACAGGCCAGGGTTCTGGTCGCCCAAAGTTTTTGGTTCCCCTACAAGTCCCTGGCCCTTGTTTGCAAAGTTTAAGGGTGTCATCTTTGCTTATACAGCTTCCTTGAAGTTGCATGTGATTCGGTTGCTTTGATTCGAATGTATATAACCTTCCTCTAGCTCAGGTAGCAGCTGGGTAGCCTGTGGAAAGTGCGTTTCTTTCACAAGGAGGTGGGGGAAGGATCCTCAGCACCACTAACCCCTTGTGAGGTACAGGCATGCAAGGTGGAAATCCAAGATGCTGGCTCCAGCAAAGTTTCTGATGACGCACAAAGAGTCTGACACCTTGAGGAAGTGACCTATGGTTGGCGGAGTGGTGGGGGACTTCCATTAAGATCGGTCAACCAGAGGTCGAGCTGCGCATCCGGCTAGTCTGTGAACTAGCGAACCGGGATGATAGGACTGCTCTCTCCTCAGAAATGTCCATATAAACTGCTGGCAGTCAAAAATTGAAACGGCAAGCAAGCCTAATCCACTTGACAAGCCGTGGGTAAAAGTTCGGGCGTGACTGACGTTTTTGATTCCTGTCCCAGGTCTTATTGGTCAATCCGCCCTTTAACATTTGCATAGTGGCGGTTATCTTTTGCCTGGAAGAATTCTTGAAGTCAGCCCGAAGAATCTGCTACGTCGATGTCAAGCATCCTCCGAACCAAAAAGGCGCTTTCAGTAATAGGTCACACGCATGTACACCATCGTTCTCTAGAAGGTCAAAAACTCGAAAAATAAACACAAAACAATCGGGCCCTCATAGCCGCCCACACTCTCTGGAAAGGGGAGGTGCACGGGAAGGGTGGCAACAAACCATTTTTATACTGATTGATGTGTTTGTTTAGTGATCATTGATCTACTTGCTTACTTATGTATGAATCTGGCTGTGTATTATGAAGTGTTTCATTTCACTGTTTTGTACTTGTTGAAACTCACTTGTGCCTTTTCAATTGATATGCATATATATATATATACTGGCAAGGTGTCGATCTAGGGCGAACCCAAAACGGTGGTTTTCCTGTCGGCTTTGTTTAAGAAAACCACCCATATGCATACGTGTATATATATACACATAGAGACATGTGTCTTTTCTGCGGGACTCCCGGACTCTTGCAAATGGTGGTTTCCTTTGGTGGTCCCATAAAAGCCACAAATGGGTACCCTCAAAGAAAGACACGCCCATACCATCTCAAAGGGCTGAAGACTCAACTTCCATCCGAGGGCTCCGGCAGCGCTTGCACTGTGGGCCCTTCGAAGATCAGCTGCGAGGGGATGCGCAAGCCTTGAGGCAACAAAAACGCCCAAGGTGCTTTGTTTAGCGGCCTTCGGTCTGTTGGATTTTCTGCCAAATCTGGCGAAATGAGGGAAACCTCGGTAACACATCCACCAACCAATCTGCAAGCTTTACTTTAAGTCCAAAAGCTAGATAAAGGGATCACCAAGTAAAGAACCTTTGTCATGGTGAGCTCGTTTGACCCCCAGGTCGGGATTGCGGCCTCGACTAAACATGAACCAACATGGGACAACCAAAGGCGAAAACGTCGGCTTTGGCAGCCAGACGTGTTTAACTCATGTGAGCCATGGTCAAATGTTCTTGTATGCAAAACTTCTTGTATGGGCCATGGGTCATGGTTTTCTAGGAATCCTTATGCCGGATATCTAAAAATCCCTAAGGGGCACATCTCCACCACACGTCTTGCCATAGCACATCTGAGGTGCTCTTTCTACAGGTGATTCAACAATTACAAAGCTAGATTTGGAGCGAGTGAGCTTCGGGAACGGGCAAGTAAGGAGGGCTTCTTTGCGGGCCATAGGTTCCCACCCGTAGACCCGCAAAAAGACATTTCACACATGCAACTCTTGTACCACACCCTGGGAGTAGACGCGGCATGGTCCGCAATGCCGTGGCAACAAAGGCCCCAAAAAGCCAATGAAAGATTTCTTGCCCCTTCCTGGCTGGTGACTCCGCGGTCACCCACTCCTGGTGGCTTGAGAAAGTGAACAGCGTCCGTGTGTGTGTTTGGAGTCGTGTTTGGGGGTATGCAGAAGTGTGTCTGTGTGTAATCCCTGGAATCGAAAAGGACTCGCCTTCGAAAATGGAAGGATAACCTAGGTCCTCCAGTGGAGAGGTTAGAATAAGGGTACCCTCCTTTCTGTAGTTTATTTTAGTAAGGGAACCTTCCCCCAAAAAAGAAATGGTAAAAGGGCTCTACCGGGGGTCCTGGTAACCATTCACCAACCCGATCGAAAACGCGGTCGCAGGGCCTCGCGGCAAGTGACTGGCCAGCCCACATGTCTTCTCCCCCCCCTTCCCCAGTGCTACGTGTCCTTGTGCACCTGGGTGTCCTTGCGGAAAATACTGGTACGTGATCCAGGCCAAACTGAAGCCATTGCCAACTTAAAAGCAAATCTAAACTCTGTTGCTTTCTGCTCCCCTGCTAAAAGTTTAACGTGGAAAATTCATTAGTTAGCAAAAAGTTAAAGTCCTAACAGCCCTTGGCAACATGCACCAAAAGTAAACCGAACCTGCCCCCACTTTCAAGTCCAAGACCCATCCGCCTAGAGCTTGCGATAAGCTCTGGCGCATCAGCATCCACTCCTGTCCCGCCGGAAGAAGAACCACGCTCTGGGCCTCTGAGGCCGTTCGGGAAACCCTGCTGAGTAAACCTCCTAGGCACCAAGGGGCCCTGTTTGGCAATAGTGAAATGTGTCATTCAGAAATGGCGGTTTAAAACTCGTCCAGGCATTCCTGGATGGACCCACAACAAAAGAACCAACTAGCAAAACCGCAACTCTGAAAAAGCCTGGCACTCCTGCAGGACTTGTCTTTTGACTTTCTTTTGGGCGAAATCAAGGGACCTAAAGGAGGGCCTCTGGGCTTCCGGGCCAGCCCTGCATTTTCCCACCAAAGAACAGGGTCAAAGCTCCCGACCGCTATTCCCTGCCCGAACCAAACCCGCAACTCCGCGACACTCCCATCACGAGTGGCCACGGAGAGTGATCGCCTTCGTTGGCTTACTTGGCTCACTTCCGATCGAGTGGATTTGCCAACACAAAAAGTAGAAAGTCCAAGAACTCAAGTGAGTTGGAAGGAAATCACCACGATCAGGGTGCCCCTGGGACAACACATACCATGTTCCAGAGACACAGGCTCTCTGCTGGTTTCCCTTTAAGGTCAACCCGCCAAGACAAACATGAGTTGAAGTGTGTGTGTGTGTGTGTGGGTACCTGCAAGTGGCCCAGGGTCAAACATGCGCTTGAGTTGATTGCACGCTGCAAGGGCACATGGCAAGTTACGGCTCTTGCTCTGTGTTGAATGGGAGTTTGCGCCACCCCTCAGGTGCGAGTAATAAACTTCCCCTGTGCAAACTGAGATTTTGTGCCTGGCAATGAAGTTGGTGGCATATCTATACTAATTAGTCGGGCCGGGTTGCTTAGCCGAGCAATGTCAGTTGGGCATGAATTGTTGGACAAAATGAGGATTTGCAACACACCGGCTTGTTCAAGCATCTAAAGAAGCTAAACCTGCCGCGGTTTCCTGGTTGCACCCTTCAACCAATCCAAGTATCCAGAAGCAGGATGCCTGAATGCTCACCCCATATTCACCCCGGTTCATGAATAGGGGAGTGTCCCTGGGTTTAGTGGGGACTCACTTTTGGAGGGGCTCCCACCCCTCAATTCATAAACCAGGGTTTATTTTTCCATGGGGTCAGCATGAATCAACAAAACCATCAATATGGGCAGCATGGACTCATCAACCCCGAAAACCCCCCCAAATTGAGCAAGGGAACGCCTGGGAACGCCTGGGAACGCCTGGGATGATGAAATATGCTCAAGATGGGCACCCCCCAACTTCATCCCGAGCAACCCCAAGTCGAGCGCTCGGCTCTCCAGCGAGCCCAGGCCCAGCTCCAGGAAAGGCGCCGCCGCCAGCGGCGCCGCTTCGCCCCTCGCGTTGACGCGGGGCCCGGCGGCCCCGCGTTCTTCGTTTCGGGGGGGAAACGTCGGGGCTGGAACTGCACCGGAAGCTGGTGCCATAGAAAATAAGACGTATGAACCCAGGCTTTGGTCCCTATGGAAACCTGGTGCGCTAGGGAATGCGAAATGGAATGAACCCAGGCTTTGGTCCCTCACCAGTTGGATGGTCTACAAGGGTAATTCCGTTTCTCATTCCCTGAGCACCAGCAAGATAGTCCCCATAGAATCCAGAAATGGAGTTGTTTCAACACATGGGACCCGTCAAATTGCCGGGTTTTCGTTTGGCTTCCCTTTAAAACCATCTTATTTTGAGACAACCCATATGGACCATATTCCCAAATTCCCAAGTTTGAATAATTCCCATATTCCTGGGGTAGGGGGAAGTTGAGGGAATATGCGGGAATATAGGGGTTGATGAATATGGGAACGAGCTTGCTCTTCCCACAACGTTTCTGGGGGAGGGCAAAACAATATTCCAAAACGTGCTTGTTGTCCTAGGGAATATATGGTTGGACAAAGGTGCATGTCCAAATTCCCTTGTGCACATGAGAAGTGGCCTCCCTCCCTTTTGTAGATAACACAGTTTCCCCATGGCAAAGCTATCAATGCTGCTCTCTCCGGACTGTAACAGCAACGCCTCGAACTCTCAGTGGAGTCATTGGCCCGACAAACTCTAGCTGCCTGCGTCGCATGCACAGGAACTGCCTCCCCAAAATAGACTATCTCTCTCTCTCTCTCTCTCTCTCTCTGGTGCGGGCATACACCAATCCAATAATCACGACTTGAACGTGATTCGAATAACCTCGGCAGGCAAGGCGTTTTTGTCCTCGACTTCGGATGATCTACTATAGTGTATCGTTAAGTGAAGAGCATGATGCGGTTGGTTTCCGAATTCCAGGTGAGGGACAACCAGTAACTCACAGTTTTGTCGCTGATGTCCTTGCAGTACTTGTGGCATCTACATTGATTCTGGGGAAAACTAGGATAGCGCTCCCAACATACTACCAACCGGGTAGTCAAGGGAAAGACGTGTGGGGTATGTTCCCAGATGCATCTGATTTACTCCGAATGAAAAGACAACGTGGCGTATTCAGCATCTTTACACACATCAACCTGCGTGGCATGTGGTTGTTCCCAAACCGCTGAACGGCCTACAGCATACAGTACTTGTAGAGATGAATGGAATCACTGGGCCTCGGGAACAAGGAGGGTTCCCCGGATTTCCCCTTTTAAACATAAACAACAGAAAGAACCCTTGCTCGAGTTTTTGCCCAAAGGTCATGTTCAACCCACCAAAACGAGGAACACATGGTGAACATGACAGAATTGTTGCAGCGTGCCAACTGGGGGAAGGAGGGGGGGGGTGGTCAGCAAGAAGCAAACACAAGACCCACCCTCACTATGGACAAAAGAGGCTCCTTCTTCGCCCAAGGGTCCAAGTACTTTTTGAGGATTTGTTTCATGGGGTTTAAAAGGGAGTAAAGTACCTCCTTACAAGGTACCTGGACAATAGGTGTCCTCTTGGAAACATAGATGGCGCTGGCTTTTTGATGAGAAGAGCCGAGCTGCAACCAGAGCTGTCTATTTCCAACCCAAACTGACCTAAAAGGGACATCCACGACCAAGGGACCGCTAGGGTACCCTCCTTCCAATGAAAGTGGATGTTTGCGGGTCTGTTGAAGAGGATGTTACTCTTCGAAGCCGCTCTGAGCGTGCGCTTTGATTGCTGGAAAGAGGGTCAGGTTCCACCCAAACTGACCTCAGCACACACCTGTGACCAAGGGACCAAGTAGGGCAATCAGGGCCAACACAATGTCAGGGCCTACGCACTCGAATCGGGTCGTTGGGTACTGTAGACCAAGATTACGCCATATAGAAGAAAAGTTGTAATTAAATAAGCCCCCTGTATTTCGTGTCTATCATGTGAAGACTAGAACATGGAATTGGGGAGCACCACAATTTATTCCTGCCGGAGTTTCCCCAATCAGTTCCGTTGTGCGAGGGAAACCTGGCTCCACTCCGACAAATTTCGCCTTTGCAGCAACTCTGCTGCAGCCAGGCACTGCTGCCTCTGGCGCGGGCTCGCGCGCGCCTCAGCTTGGATGTCTTGGGCCAAAATCTTGGTCACGGCGACATCAAAGAAAACCGAACCAAACCACCGGAGAGGCTCCGACCAAATTTGAAGAAGCTCCGATATGCCATGGGTTTTCGGCCATGGGCATGGTTCCGTGAATAGGGTTCTTCACATTGATCTATTCTCCCCACTAAAGGGTCCATGACCATCCCTACCAATCCCAAGCGCTGCTTTCCACATCTTCAACATTCCAAAAAACTGGTTCCAAGGAAGACCCTTCCACGGAGCTTTGGAGAACGATACACACTTTGTTGGGGGTGTTCAAAAGGTGGAGCCATGTGGGGCCCCAATCTGTCCAAATCCGTAGTGGGAGGCCACTAATTAAATGCGAAACCACGTGCAGCATCTTGGGAAATTGATTTGAACTCTAATGAAATGGCCATGGGTCAAAATCCCGTACCCCCAGTGAACATCCCAATCCCCACTAAGATAGACTAAAATGGGCGGAGCACCTACCCCAAACATGGCACCATTGGTTTTGACCCACAGCCAAATGGGTACAGTATCAAGGGCCCTCAAGACGGGAAGTGCAGCTTGGGACCAAAGCCATCCCAATCGCAGCCCGGGACGCCATGGACTGCAGCACCTCTGCCTGCAGCAACACCTGGCGCCCATCCACTGCCCTGGTTTTTGTAGAAAATCCGCTGGTCACAGGCGAAATCAGAGTAAACATAAATGAAACGCTGTATGCACCCATGCCAAGATGGGCCAACCTCAGATTGGACCCTTGGGGTCCCACATCCAAACGCAACACACTGGCCTCCTCCATTGGGCTGGGTACTGCCGGCCTGGGTATTCGCCAGAAACGCGCGCACGCTTCAGAACCCGGGAATCTGCTTTCACTAAAGGATACGCTCCGTGAGGTGTTTAGGATACCAACGAGAAAACGCAGCGCATCCTCCTGGAAATGGAGCGCCCTGTCTTTCTGGGAGTTAGTCAGCCTTCCTGTCAGGCGAATGGTCATCTCACCAAAACAAACTGAAAAATAAACAGCACACACATGCAAGCAAGCAAGCAAGCAAGCAAGCAAGCAAGCAAGCAAGCAAGCAAGCAAGCAAACAAACAAACAAACAAACAAACAAACACAAAGAACGACAAATGGCCACCACACACGCGGCCACTGACCCAATCTGTGGAGTCCTCAAAACCCGGTACGGTTCAAGGATCTCGGAAAGGCGACAGATTGTGGCAAGGAGACTGTACGCAAGTAACATTCCCTTGGCCGGTCTTGACTCTTCTATCACTTTTAAGGTTTCCAACTCCTGGCTGCACTGCTGCATCACCTGCTGTTTGAATAAAAGGGAAAACCCCATGGTATCAGAGAAACAGGTCCTGAAACACTGCTTCCGCCGGCAGCTCTGCCTTTTGGCGCTCGCTCTTAGTGTAAGAGCCGGGCTCTGGTCTTGCGCATTGCGAAGGTTCCGGCGGGCCCGCAGAGTCCGCGGGGTCCGGGCCTGCCTCGAGTCAGTCAACTCCCTAGGCCTCACTTTGGCTAGAAGGTTCTATGCTGTCGCTCTAAGCCTTCTAACCAGAAGCCACGGCGCTTGTAACCTCATGTACAACCAAACTGAGGCGGCCAAGTAAGCGAGCTACCTTGACCCTTGGAACCCCTCAACAAACATCCTCCAAGGGTAACCAAGGAGAAACAACGATACACGAAAGAGGCAAACGCAAACGCAAATAACAAAGGAAGTCTAGCGGCACGTGTAAGCAAACGACGACCAATTGATGCGCAAAGTGACACGGGAAGGTACCTGATATCCAATGGAAGGATCCATGAAAGGCTCTGTTTGAAGGCACAGAGGTCTGTGGAGCTGAAATCCATGATGCCCAACGACTAACGAAATCCTCCAGCTTTGCCCACTCTACCCGAATCAAAACATCGTCACTTTCCCAATGTACCCATTAACCAAACAAAAGCTTCCAACTACAAAATATCAACTAAGACCACTTTCCCCCCTCTTTCCTCGACTTCCACCCAGGTGCTGCTTCTTCAGTGGCTCACTCAACTCCTCAAAACCAGCCTGGGTGCTCAAAAGGCAGTCTGGACAAACTGAAAATGACACAGCCCGAAATTGGTTTTCCCCAAGGACATATACAAATATATTGTAAAAATAGGTCTGGGAAATTGAACAAACATGCCTGTTGGCGTCCCCTCAAAATGGCACATAGTTTCGTCTTTGTTCAGGCTACTTTGCTTTTCTGTGCTTTTGAAGGAAACCAACAGGAAAGCACCATTTTAGAGGGTCCAACCTTTCAAACAAGCCCCACATCAAGCATTCCGTTGAAGTTGCTCGCACCAGCCGCCGCCGGCTGCCCCCCGCCCAAAGCCCCGCCTGCGGCGCGCGGTTTCCACGTCGCCGGAGGAAGCGCTGCAGCAGCGGCGCCAGCGGTGCCAGCTCCGGCAGCCGATGGGCGCCCGCCTGAAAAATCTGCCTTCTTGGATTTGAAGGGTTCTAACCAAATGGATGTGGCTCAAAATTAAATAGCTAGGGTTACGCCAAAGAAAGTCTTTGGTTCCATTTACCAAGGTGCCATTTTGGTACATGTTGTTGAGCCACGGCCAAATATCACTCTTCTCTTTAGATTGAAGAGCTGAAAAAGGTTTGATGTTGTGACCACGAAGTATAAGGCCAACATCTATGTGCACGAAAACCAGGTCTTTGAAGCTACTTAGCCTCCGCAAACCCCCCCCAACAAACTCAGAGCGAAGAGCTCGCACCGAATCAACCGGAGCTAACCACTTACCAGCCATGACCTTTTCCTTCTGAACACAAGAGACGAACAAAACACACTTTGCGATCCTTCTAAAACCAACAGACAAAACGAAAAACAACAACGGGAAACTAAACCGTTGGAAACCCCTAGTCACACAAAATCACCAGTTCAACATCTCAAAGTGGTGGAACACGCCCCAAACAAAAATACAGGCCCCAATGCGTCCCCAACGATGAAAGCTCCCTTTGGATCAGGCGCGATTTCCTGCTGGAGCGGGACGGAGTCAGAGCTGCACCAGCATGGTAGGCCAGGAAAGGCCTAAGCAAAACGACAGGGAAAGTGACTCCGCATACTCCGCCAAGTGCGGTTCAGTCTCCTGTCGAAACTGGGAATGGTTATCGGGAGGAGGAGTTGGCAACCATTTTCAGTGAGGCCAAGGGAACCTGAAACGTGATCATGTGGTCACGGGGATGGCTCACTTTAGTATCGTTAGTATCACAGCCATAGTCTTTGTACGCAACCCTGCAAAAGGGTCTGGATCAGAAACAGCGTCAGCAGTGTGGCCAACAGGCCGGGGGAAAATAAGGGGCACGCTTGGTTGGGGACTGTGTTAGGGAACACCATCCAAGCAACAAAGAACAAAACGCTATTGGTGAGATATTTCGTTCTCCACGGAATTTGGAAGCGCCTTTTACAGGGCCTCGCAACGGGCTAGGCCCTGTGAAGTTAGTTGGGACACTGCTGGATACGTTCTTACCTGCTCAAATCGCATGCGCTTAGAGGCTGATCCGGACATGGTCATTGCGTCTGTCGTCTACAAGAAGCCAATAGTGGATGGCGTAGAGTTCATAGGACCATTCTCATATTCTCCACTGAGAACAAGTTACTTAACATGTTTCCTGGAAGGGGGGCGCAATTGACAACGGCAATAAGCTGGAACTGTGACAGAGCCGGGGATGGACGAATTTTCCAGTCGGTTGGCTGATTTGGTACCCAACATGAGCAGTGTCCAAAACCTATCAGGAACCGTGTAAAGGCCTAAATGGAGCTCGCTGTGAGTCCCTCCTACCAGCAATACCAAATAGTAGAATCTAATGCTCCCCAACCAAACCAACACCCTCGAAACACATACCAACCCTTTCTTTGTTTATGTCTGTCTTTCTCAAGGGTGTTCTTAGGGCAGTGGTGCGCTCCGAAGGGCGAAACATGATCCAAACCCCCTGCCCTCCTACCCCAAGCATCCCCTAACCACCCCCTCTTGTTGGTATGCCCTTTGGAGGAAACCGGGCAAGAGGGTGGTGAGGAAGGGATCCCCCCGGTTTTTGTTGGTCCGCATTTGGAGGCAAACCCACAGACCCAAAGGAGGGCGGGCGGGGCGTCAGCTTCTTTGCCCCCGCCTGGGCCGGCGCTGCCTCCTCACGCCCCACCAAGTGCAGGGACGGGATGCCTGCAGCTGGCTCGTCCCAAAGCCGTGTAGAGTCATGTTGACCCCGTATTAGTCGAGCTAGGGGGGCGTTCCCCTCCGAAAGTGCTGAGTTTCCCACTAAACTCAGGGACACCCTCCCTATTGATAAACTAGGCTTGATTTTCTATGGGGTCAACATGAAGGCACACTAGATGAACTCCCATTGGCCAACACGCTGAACGGATGAAACCTAAGCAACTAGGCAAGAAACACACCCACCCACTACCATTATTCGAGTCCGGGGCAAACATTTAAGAGGCTAAACAACACGTCGACTACTTGGCGGAAGCCACCAAACGGACAGAGATTTAGAGGGCACTGGGCAACAAGGTTGGGCGAGTCAAGGACCCAAGTTCATGGCACCTTGACCGCCCCTCTCCCCCAAAAATGGCCGGCTTCTTTTTGATGCCCCTTGAAAAGACAACCAACAGGGGGTCCGTTTTGAGAAACACCGACATCTGGTGCCACCTGTTCTTTTCCCGACCTGCAAGCATCACAAAACCAACAGGGCAGTGACTAAATGTTGCCTTGCATTCCACAGTTTGCAGGGTGATACTCCCGTATATATATATATATGTAATATATAGTTGTAATATGGCCATGGGTCGACTAAAATGGGTCCCATTGGTGTTGACCCACGGCCAAGTGAGACCCTCCCACAGCCTGCAGGGCGCTGGTACAGCGACTGGAACTCCGGCGCTTCTGCTGCGTAGCCGCCTTCGGAAATCGGGGTTCCGCAACCCTGTGGACCCAAACCTCCAGTTTGGTGTCGTTTTGGGGGACTGCTGTTGAGTTTTTGAAGAAAATGTGAAGCCGTTCTTTGGGGGGGAACTTCCCCTTGGTTGGTCTTGAACGCACATTTGGTACCGGAAAGGAGACCAACAAGTTGGGGGGTTCCCGTACTTTACAACGCACCCAATTGGGTTGGAGTCATACGTTTAAAGCATAGCAAAACCGTCCATTGTTTAAAACAACCTCGTTCCCCTTTGAAGGTCATGCCATCTGGGGCCCAAAACCTGACGTTTGGCCTTATGGTTGATTAAACCCCAAGACTGTGGTCAATCACCCGGTTTTCCTCAAGGAGACATAGGGTTTTGGGCTCTGCTCATGTGGGGTGGGTGCCCAAGACATAGGACCTCCATTTATTTGGTTTCCATTGTAGTCGCCACACATCTGCGCAAAATAGAAAATCGTTCAACTGCTTGCATCTTGATTCAGTCTTCGATCGGCAACTGCTGCGAGTCCAAACCGTACTTCACTAGCTGAAATAAGCGCCTCACCTAGTAAAGGAGCTTCATTTACAGATCGCTCTTGACGCCCGTTCGGTGAGCTTGCAAGCATGTCTGCAAAAAAATGGGAGAACCAGCACACGCGCAACTGTTGCCATGAGTAGGGTAGAAGTGGCCATGTACAGGACAAATGTCGGCTAATATTCCGAGAGGTTTTGGGGGCCAATCAAGATGGCACGTTTCAAAAAGCAGGAGTTGGGGCCCCTGCAATAGTCTGGTTGCCCTTTGGATTCCCTACGCATCCGAAAGGCTCCCGTTTGTTTTAGTCATCTAGACCTAAGTGTTAGGGTATCATGAAAAACACACATAGGAAAGCTATGATGTTTGGACAAACAGCATTTAAGTCCCCGTGTGGACCCTTGATGATAACAAGTATGACTTCCCTTCGCTTAGAGTCCCAGGATGGCCATCCCAGGCGTTTCATGGTAAAATAAGCAAGTGAGAAACAACCACCCTGCAAAGGCAACTGGAGGAACTGCAGGTCTCGCTTGAAAACAACCAAACCGGCAAATACCAGGGATTCCCTGACTTCCTACTTGGGAATCAACTGTCACTGTTTAACTGTGACTTCCCGAGTGGGGAAAACAGCCAGCTAGCGTCCAGCGACAAATCAAGGCCAGGAGCATCAACAAACACAAGCTGAACCCCGTGACAACGAACAGCCAAGAACCGGCGAGAATCGAGCGCTTTGGACAAATCAGGGACCCCATGTTGGACGTTTAACGGGATCCAAGCCAGAACTTCCCCAAGAAAGGTCAGTGGAGAAAACACCAGCCAGGTGTCCAGCCTCCAGCTCGTTCGAGACATCAGGGACGGATTCAACCCTCTTGTTGCTGGTTGAAAGGTGATAGAACCCCAAAACGGCAACAAGTTACACTGCGGTAAGCCTTTGGTCTGGCATGGTCTGGCGCTGGCCCCATGATTGTACCAGAAGTCACCCCCCGAGTAGGCCAAAGGGAAAGCACTGAACACAAACACCTGGAAATCAGTCAAATTACCGCGGGCAACTTGCTGTAATGCGCAAACTGGAAATAAGGGAAGGCACACACACAAGCGCCGCGGCTAAGATACATCAGTCGGGAGGAAGTGACATCACAAAAGACAAATTCCATGAGCACAACACAAATTCACACCCCTTCAATTGCTCACGCTGGGCCAAAATCCTGCACACAACAGAAGACCTTGCAGCAAACATGGCCCAATGCCATAAAAACGCAGAAAGCCGCCGGGGTCGTTCCAATTCGTTCCCTGCCTATGGGACCAGGCATGCAAACCTCCCCAGCCTATGGATACCAGGAACCGCGGCAAAGGCTGCAAGCCCTGCAGCGCCGCCAGCGCCGCCGCCGCGGCGCCCTGTCCCCCGGAAGCCCCGGAGGGAGCCACCAGCCACCCGGAAACAGCGTCACACCAAATGAAGGATGCGGGCAGTTGGTAGCTGTTCTTCTTTTTTTCCGGTTGAGGGAAAAGCCAACAGGAAACTACGCATTCTGCGGGTCCCCTTTTCGGAGCACAAAGGGCAAGTGACGAGGATGACTCCGTGGAATGATGGAAACAAGTCCCAGGGAGGCTGGCTCCTCTTGAAACCAAATAGGGAGAAAAGTCCACAAAATTATCCACCTGCCCATCCAAAGCACTAACCGGGGGCAAGGTGACAACGCTCCGAGGCACTCATGCTTTTGGGCAAGGTAGTACAAACAGCATGGACAAATTGTTGTGCGTGGAAAAGGGGAATAGCAGGCCATCCGCAAGTCGATGAACGCCGAAGCGACCAAATCACACCTCGAAACGGATCCGGCGCCTCACAAATGCCGGCGATGCCATCGAAGGGGCCCCACTCACGCCAGACGTGGGAGATCAACGACCTCGGAAGCCGGGCCCGAAACTGCCAAACCCAATGGAAACCACCCATAGCAAAGACAAACAAAAGTAAACCACCGATAAGGCGAATCCTGCTTTCGGAAGCAAGGCCCCTATATTTCTCACCCAGACATTGCAACACTCCACTTGGAAAGCCCTTTATTTGACCGTTCCCAAAAGGGGAATTGATTCAGACCCCAGTTCATTAAGCAAGCGCGTGGCAAGATTGGTTCGACTCATTTTGAGAAACCTCCTTCCGACATATCGGCTCAGGTTGATGCATCTGAAGTCGAGAAGATTTTGCCGGATTGTGCCATCGTGCCCAGCCGCAGGCTGGTCGCCCATCTGCTGTCTGCATCGCTCTGCGGAAGCCCCCATTGGAAGTAGCTGCCAGCGGGGTCATACCAGCCTCAGGCGTCGGGACTCTGCTGGGCGAACCGGTGGCCATTTCTCTTTGCAAAATCAAAGCTAGAGCAAAGCAATGGTTTTGGTGGAGAACCCTGCAATAATTCTGAAAAGGAGGGCTGATAGAAGACTTCTGAGAACTTTGCTGGCGGTTGTTGGGCGTCTAATGTCTCTGCTGAATCCTGAGTTTTGCTCACTCAAAAGTCCTTTGACTGCCCGCAACCCGTGAGAGGGTCCGTGTGTTTCCCTTTTACGTCAGGGCTGTACCCCCAAAATTTGCGGGAGTTTGGCACACACCCTGAAGGCACCTGTTTAAGGGATCCGCAGAATGGATTCTAATTGCATTCAACAACCGAACTCATGTGATTCCCACTAGTGTACTGAGAAGCACTGTTTTTGACTCACTCGAACTTCCTGAAAAATTGGCAACCAAAATGTGAGGTCTAAACAAGCAATGGGAGCGCTTCAGGTTCTAGCAGCAAAAAGTGTGGTTTCCTTTGAAGCAACCCCCAACTCCCAAGAACGACACACCCGGAGGCTCCTGAGCCGCGCGAAATCATAGCAGGAAACGCGGACATCTCTTGGTCGATTTAAGAGAAACCCAACTGGCCCCATTTTGGGAAGTCTAAAGTTTGAGTATTGAGTGAGGTGAGGAGCAATCCTAGGCGAGATTGCGCCTTGTTCTTTCTCGTGCCGACATGGTGGCCCTGGGGACCCGCGAAGGTAAAACATGACACCGGGTCCCCAAATGTTCCCGGCACTCCCTCGCGTGTTGCGCATTCCTGGCCGAAAAGCCCAAGCGTGTTGGACCCTCGAACAACTGTGCGTCTGCTCGGTCGGCATGGGGCGCGTTCACCAGGGCGATGTCAAAAAGGTCGGATCTGCCGATGTCGGGTGGCTCGAAATCAGGGTTGGTTGCCACATGTGGTCATGTTTCTCCACCCACCCCGAAAAGGGAAAACGACTTTCCCTTGTACACTCAGGGAAAACATCAAATTATAAGTATATAGGAAAGGGCCCTTTTATTGGGAGTACACTCCTCACTTTCGTACGCCGAGGGACACAAGTGATGCACTTGTGGCAGGACTGCAGACATGCTGTTGGTCCAATTTCAACATAAAATAATGAACCACTTGGAGGGGCTGAACTTCCTTTGATGCAGCCACCTGTTGACACAACACGGCCCGCGGTCTTCTTGAAGGAACAAAGAATCACATACTGAGTGAAGGGCAATGGTCTCACATGCTCAAGGCTGCCAAGGCCGTCGCAGACATCCTGAGGGACCCAGCGACCAGTACTCTGGGCCACCATCAATTTACTTTGTCTTGAAACGTGGCTTCCTCTGGTTGCCTACCATGTTGGTTGGATACACTGGGCATGTTTCAAATACCAAGACTCTTGGGTGCCAACTTAGCCCAGCGGAAGTGACTCGAGCAGCGCTCGGCAACTTCGACTCGGCTAAGCAGCAATGTGACCCTTCTGCTGGCTAGATTTAACTCGAAGTCTTAGCAACAGCATGCAGAACTTCCAAACGGAAAGACAATAAAGTCGGTAGACCCACATCCGGCAACAACGCTAGGTGAAAGCAAAGGCATCAAGCATTCGTGGCTACGCGTTAGAATTAAAGGGTCTCGCTCTAAGATAGTTCCACTTAGTTTAAGCTCAAACAAGCCCAGGGGAAGCCCTAATCTTGGGACAAGCTGTGCTAGGAGAGCTCCCTTCTTGTAAGCCAACTATTTCAGAGACTTGGGTTGGCTTCCCTTCGGCGGCACGCTAAAACGTCCACACAACCACCCTCAGACAAAAGGCAAACCCAGGTGCAAACCTTGGCCCCGCTCTCTCTGACCATCCCAATGGCTGGACCTCTCACGGAACCCTTTGGTTGCAACCTGCTGCTTGCAAATTCAGATTCATGCATGAAGTTGGCCGCAGCTCTCCCCTGCAAGGACGGTTTTCACTCAGTTTGAGTTGTCCCGACACTTCCCACAATGCACCCCAACCCTAGGGCACCCCAAACAGCTTTCAAACAACGGGGAGCCACTTGAATCATAATAAACACCTGCTGTTGAAAGGCTCGAGCCATGTTTGCTGTTCATGTTAAATGTTTATGTAATCTTGACTACTTTATCACGTTAAACGGGAAAAGGGAAAGGTGTCACATTCCCTTGCATGTGCTTAATTGAAGGCAACCCTCATGAAATGCCTCAACTTATGCGGTCAATGCCCCTAACCTTGCGTCGCCACCAACATCACCGACAACCAACTTGGATGCTAAATCTACTTAGTAAGTACGAGTAGGTTCCAACCAAGCTACTTACCAATCAGCAGGGAGAGCATCCAAGAATAGTATGGCTACTAGGTAGCCCGCAAATGTCAATTACCCAGAAAAAAAACGGAAAGAAACCGGGGATGATTTGTTGTGGGTTGCTTATATTTGTCCCATTAACATTAGCCCAATGGTTCGAACATGTTGACAGCAACCCCAAACGGCTGCCGGCTGCGCTTTGGTTTCGCGGGAACAACGCCCGGAACACGACAATACTTTCAAAGAAATCCCAGGGACGCAACAAGTGATGTTAACACCATCCCAAAGTGGGGGCCATGGCACGTACCTTCAAAAACCCGAACCATTCAAATCACGTCTTGTTGCATGAACAAAAAGTGCAAGGGGGTGTACTTGCAAACTCTCTCGTGCGGTGGTGGTGGACAAACATGAGTAGTATGTACTGTGTCTGGGTAGTACCTTCAAAAGTGACAGACCTTCCTGTCTAGAAGTTAAATGAGTTAGTTCTGGAATTTTATTGGAATAGCTGATACACATGCGGATACCTTCAAAACCAAACTTCAGAGCCATGCCTACCTTTTCAGGTTGCTTTACAGGGATCAGGTCAAAGGAAGCCACCACTTTGGGGGACCTACAAACAAAAACCTTACCGCACATACAAAAACCTTGCCCGATTTCGCGCGCCTTTGCCAACCCGTGGCTTCCAGCAACCGCTGCGTGACCGCTGCGTCACAACGGGCCCCGTGCAGGAAGAGCAGCCGCGCGCCTCGAAAAAACGCGCGGGGCGCCGTGGGACAGCGCTTGATGTCGCTGTGGCGTGGGGATTTGTGCTTCTGAGCCGGTGCTTTGTGTGTCTAATGTGATGTGTTGGTGGGCGCCGTTTGCTGGATTGTGCTAGGGTATACCTGCGAAGCCTCTCTTCGAAGTAGAGGGCCATCTCGCAAAGCCTTCCACACTTGCAGTCAATGGTTGATCTCGGAGCAAACGTGTCACATACGAGTTTGACGCCCAAAAATGATTGTGTAGTGCTAACTACTGTATCGGGGAGGTGATCAGCAAACCAAGCGAGCAGCGCTCAAAGGTATTTGCTTTTGGTTTTACTACCATGGTTATTAAATGTAAACAAATCACTTCACTATTATGTCAATGAAATAAGAAAGTAGAACCACCTGAAATGACCAATAGGGGTTTGGGCGCTGGTGCGGTGACGATGGTGTACTTGCTGGACACCCTCCGACTCATCCAAGGCGCATCCCAGCTTCCACAATGGCATGATTTGCACTCACCGACTGAACGCTTCCCAAAGGGAGTTGTACAACCATCTGGTACGGGTATGGATCCTTTGGTGGGCATCATGGGGGCTTATGTCTGCCAAGCATTCTTGAAGGTGCTCCCAAGAGCCCATAGTCAGAAAGATGGAGGTCATCTGCGTGGTAGCCTGTATTTCTCTGCTGCAGGTCTGTTGCCGCAAACTTGACTTGTGAGAATGGTCAACACATTGGACAACAACCTGGAAACCGAGAAATGGCGTGCCCAAGGGACCATCAGGAATAACCGGTGTTCCTTATAATATGGCTGTGCCTTTTTCGGGGTAACCCCTTTTGGTTGACTTTGAAGGCAAAGGAAACCACCGGTTTTTCAGGATCCCGTCACATCAGAAGACGGGCCCCCGCGCGAACGTCGAACCAATGGGGCGGCACGAGCACCTTTGGCTCAGCCTCGAGTTACTCTGAAACTGATCCCAGGATCCTGCAACCCTTTCGCAATGCTTTGCTACGTGCTTTTAAACATGCAGCACTCCGGTTTAACTATGATTCACTACCCCGTAAGAAACAACACAAAACACGAGGAGCCTTCAGAGGTCAGCAACCTCCCTTTTAGGTCACAATCATCTGTCCAAACTACGCTCGGTTGATCTCTTTTGAAAGTTCAAATTACACCAGCATAGACCCCAGATAGCAATGATTGCACACCAGCACCTCCAACAGCACCCCCCGAAGAGCGTCCCAAACAGCACCCGGCCGTCAATCGAGCACCCGCGCCATCACTAGCACCTCCAACAGCACCCCAAACAGCACCCCAAACAGCATCCCAAAACAGCACCTGCAGCAGCACCCCAAACTGCATGCACCCTGCACCCTGCCGTCAATCGCAAAAATGCGCCTGCACCGTCGCCCAAAGAGCACCCCACACAGCACCCCCCCAAACACCCAGCCGCACCCCAAACAGCATCCCAAAACGCCACCTGCACCAGCACCCCAAGCTGCATGCCCCCTTGCACCCTACCGTCAAGATGCAAAGATGTGCCTGCACCGTCACCTGCATGCCCGATAGCACCCGGACGTCAATATCGCAAATTGCGCCCGCACCGTCACCAGCACCTCAAACAGCTCCCCAAACAGCATCTCAAAACACCACCAGCACCAGCACCCCAAACTGCATGCTCCCGTGCACCCTACCGTCAAGATGCAAAAACACCGTCACCCCCAGCACCTGCACCAGCACCCCCAAACTGCATGCCCCCTAGCACCCTACCGTCAATCTTGAAAAGATGCGCCCGCACTGCCATCAGCACCTCAAACAGCACCCCAATCCGAAAAAACCAGCACCCCAAACTGCACGCCCCTTAGCACCAGCCCATCAATCTCGCAAATCACTTCCCCCTCTTTATTAGAAGTTAGAACCCCTATAGCTTTCAGCTATCTGGGGAATAACAAAAACCGCTTCCACAAAGAACATACCAAAAAGCATATGCTGGTCCCTGTCTTCCAAACAGGACCCCCCCCCAGCAAGAGATCATCATGGGGCCCTGCTCGTGTTGCTTTCAAAGCTGGCGTTGTTCTTGAGCACACAAAGTGTGAGCGTGCTTGCCCAGTGCGAAGAGGGAAAGATTCTGTAGCGGGGGAGCCAAACAAAATGTGCTTGTTCTGTCAGTTTCCCAAGAAGCGGAACCACAACACAACACACCCACCCGCTTGTGTTGGTCGTGAAGACTGGGCAACTGGGATAGGCAATCCTTTCACCAGCGAACAGTTCATCCACCTCCTGAAAAACTGAAAACTACGATGGTCCATTGGACATACCCCGTGCGTACAGAAACACAAAGTACCCTGACCAAAGGTCCTTCAAAAGGCAACGGTCGGGTCCCCAGGAGGGTAGAGGCTCATGCCACAACACCCGTCCAAGCGAGTTGTATTCGGGCTATGGTTAGGCCGTCGCCACTTGACAAGGCGCAGCAAACTTGCTGTTGAAGAAGTTAACCCAAAAGTGGTGCTGCCTGAATCTGTGCAGGGCTGGCCCCAACGACCAGCGAGGCCGCCAGTCCAGGCTCAACAAAAATGACGAAACCAGAGACCCAAGGCACCCAACATGTTCTCTGCCTTGACATGACCATGGTGCTTCAATATACGAACGAGCAACAGGAAAACTGCTAGAACCATCGGAAGCACAATGATCACAATGAACAGCTAAGCAACAAAACATGTTGCCGCCAAACGGGTATGGAAAGGACTTCCTATGGAAGCACACCTTCGCTTTGGGCTTTGCTTCATGTTGGTGTGCTTCAAAGCGGTGGATCCGTCAGAATGGGTACCAACTCAAACAAATTTTCTTTCTGGTTTTGAATCAACCCACGCCCAAACATAAGGCATGCCCATCGTCACGTCCGCACTTTGCATCGCTGGCCTCAATCTGCTTGGACTCGATCTTTGGAGTCCTCGCCTGCGGGGCAATTCAGGGGTTTGGGCCGCTTAGGGGTTTGGCCCGGTTTGGGAGCATGAGGTGGTGGACCGAACACAAAAAGAGAGTAGAATTGCCACTGCGGCGTGCTTTTGGGAAAAGTAACAGCACTGGGAAATCAAAGACTGGGAATTGGCCTTTGAGCGAATTGGGCTCCATGCAAGGAAATCTCAGGTACGCTGCAGGCAGGTACCTGTATTTCATGCAGTCACATGCCTCTTCTGTACATTAGGCATATGGCTAATACGGCTGTCCTGATTGCACAATTGGTGTGCCTGCCTGGGGCAGTACCTGAACACTTATCGCAACAAGTCTGCACAGAAGACATACTCGCCCAGCCCTGGGGGGAATGACACCCACGTTTGCGGTGGTTGATTCAGCGAACCGTAAAAAGACAAATGGAAAAGGCTATCTGTACATCAATTGATAGTACCTCAACAAAACCAGGTCAGTAACAGGACGCAACTGGGCCCCGTTTCACCCGACTGATACTGCCTTCTTGGAAATGGAGGACCGTCCTTTGCATGTCGTTCAACTGGACCCCAAATGGGCACGCTGCGCTCCTTTGTCCTTAAATGTGGAAGGTCCCTAATATTGGGATCTTGTTCTTGGGGTGCATTACAAACTGAATTTGGTAATCCGCAACTAAGAACCGCCATGGATAAGTTTGCTTTGGCCCCCGAGTCGATATCAGATTTCTCTCGGCCTCGGGTTCAACTGCTTCTGCTGGAACCTGGCCAGGTCGACTTGAGCAAACACCCCAAGAAGCAACAGACCGAACACCTGCTGGTTCAACTCATAGAGAATTCGTCAGCGAGCAAGCAAACACAAAGGCATAAAACACATCCGAGCATTCCTCTACCCGTTTCCGAGCCAGCTTGTTCACGCTCGCAAAATGGCACAGTTACCCACAAGAAAAAGACGCACGTACAGCACATGAACGCAGCAATCCGTGCCAAAATGGCAGCTGGAATACATACTCTCCACCTGAAGGGGAGGCTCGAGCCGCTCGAGGGCCATTTTTCTGAGTAACTTGCGACAGGATGCAAATTGGGAAACGTAAGCTTCCAGTGAGTAAGTCTCCTTTGAGGGTATAGCCTTTTGGGGCTGTCTCACTTGGGGGTCCCCTACTTTAAGGCAAAGCCCAGTGGTGCTGAAAACATGCAAGGGGTGCACTTGCTTCCTGCTTGAGAGCAGCAGTGTGTGCTGACCTTGACCGATGGATTGAGACCCCATGGCCTGGCTCAGATGCCGCGCCAAGGCATCAACCGTGGGGAAGTCCTGAAGCCATGGCAGAAAGCCATGGGAAAACCGCCATGAGCCCTGAGCTCCATGCCAAAACCTCCTTCTCAGGCCTGAAGTATTGAAAAAAACTCCACCTAGAGGAGAACATGACTCATGAGGATGGATGACGGGCTCCAGCCATCCCACCCAAAAGACAGCGAGTCAACCATATGACATCTACAGACCCCAGCGATTTGAAAGCCCAGAGCCGAGGCTGACCTCTGGGCGGTTCTGATTCTACTAGGGACTCCAAGCAAGCATCGAAGCAACTGTCCGTATTTGATTACCATGCAAATAAGGGAGCTCATATCTTGGTTGCTGTTGACCCCCCTGCACAAAGTTTAACTTGTTGGGGGTTAAGTGGAAAACCCGCGATTTCCCCCAAAAAGTCGAAAAGTCTAAAGATCCGTTGCCCAATAGCAGTCAAGATGTAATGCTAGGCTGCTACGCGGCCTGGGAGCTTCCTTTCAATGAGCTTGACTCTCACTCTAGTCACTTCACTTGCTTCACTGGTCGCGTTGGTCGCCAGGACCTGCATCTCCCAAGATGAAGATCGGAGAAACACGAGGGTTGGGCCAAGGACCTGTTCAAACGCCTCAAAACAATTTCTGGCCATCCTCAGTTCAAGGTAGTAGTCCTTTCAAGGACTGCATATAATTGACTGTATAGTCACCAATCCAAGCCTCTGGAAATGTCATAGTATGCTCAGTTGCTTGTCGCCCTGCCTACTAGTCTTCCAAGGTGCTCCAAACCTGGAGCAAGTGACTTTATAATAACGGTTTGGAGAAAGCAGGTTCTAGCGACCTTCGCGTGCATAAGTTACCTTGCTCTCCAAGACGAAAAATTGCGCAGGCCATCTCGTTGCTGTGGGCAATTTGGGTGGGTTCCCATGTCCTTTATGGACTACTGGAAACCAGGACAAAGAAACCGCCAGTTGATTCAATAGCGCGACTAATCCGCTAGCTTTGTAATTAATATGCAAAACAAGTTAGACAGGCTTCGTGCCACACTATTGATTGCTGGGACAGCCCTCAATTCAACCTTCCACTACCGGGGCTTGAGGTTTTGACTGTGGCACGACACGAGCCCGGCTCGTCCAGGTCAGTTCGAAACGGCCATGCAATCATATTATATTCAAGGAACGGAACCGGAATCAATCAAATGGTTCGACAAGGGCTTTATGACGGCAATGTTTCAACAATCAACTACTAAACTGACCAGAGAGGCAGATTGGGGAACATAATGTTTCGGAAACCAACTACTAAATTGGTCCAAATTGGAACAAACAGAAACAAGCAACACTATGGGTCTCCTTTTTCAGTGTCCGTCTTTCTTTCTTCCCTTTGGGCCCGGTGCTCGCTGCTCGAGGCAAAACCCCGAGGCCCCCGGCGAAGAGCTCCGCCGCGCTGAGGCGGAGGTTGAGCGCCGCCAGGGACTGGCGCAGGTCGATCTGCGCCAAGGAGTCCTGAAGCGGGAAAACTGGGCTGCCCGTTTTCTCCGCGAAAAGTGGAGAACTCGTGGGATCCTCCACGAAAAAAGTGAAGAACTTGTGGGTGAAATGGAAACCACTAAACACTAGGCTCAAAAGCAGAGGAACTGGATGGCGAGCCACCAAGGAAACGAAACCAACGATCAGCTTCTCCCATGTTCCATTTCCAGGCTCCAAGGCCGAGGTGGCCGTGCTAGCATGAGGCACATTCAAGCTTCTCCCGCGAAAATGACAAAAAACGAAACCAGGAAACGAGCAGCTTCAATCGAATTAAACAAACAAAATGGAGGGAAGCGATCAGCTTCAAACGAATTGATGAAGGGAAACAACCCCTAAGCACCGACCACAAAGGAAGAAACACCAATTAATTAGAGGGAAGCTGGTTTGGATTGATGCTTTGGAGGCCATGAACACTCTACAAGAAGCATTGTCAAACCAAGAATTGGTCCAGTTGTATTTTTCAAAGGGGTGGGGATGATTCTACAACCTGACACAGGTGACCTCTTGAAACCTGCTCTGCAGCACTTTGACAACTCTCTGACAACACTTGTGAACCGTGGCAAGGCTTACGTTAAGAGATTCATAGGCAAGTCAAGAACATGTCATCGATCTCAAGATCGTGGCAGCTTGGCAAGGGGTGGTTGAGGTAGAAGGCCTGAACTGCAATTCTCAGAAGCTCTGTGGCCATAGGAGAGAACAATAACAGCGTTTTGTTGGTCACCAAAAATGATCTGTCTGCTGTTGGTGCTTGTAGATATCACCATTTGGGCCAACTTCAAGTCATATTCCTGTTGGTAAAAGGGACCATGTGCGGGGTGGCCCTGTGCGGAACCCTGTCTTTCAACACACCTCAAGGGACACATCACATCTGTACGATAGATAGCCCAAACAGTGAAAGTAAGCCAACACAAAGCCATTGTAAGTTACAGGGTTTACCTCGTTCCCTACTTTCAATCTTTAAGCTTTGGACCAGTTAAACTGTCTCTTCCACGACTGAGACAAAGTCCTACGCCAAAAAAAAAAAGAGGATCCCCGCAAATGTTTGGGACTATCGTCGCTTGCTGAGTCGATTGGTCAGAACAAGTTATCTGGACTTGTTGTTTACCAAGAGGATCTTGCCACAAAGTCTAAAGTCCAGAAACCGGGAACTGCTCTAAATGTGCGGGTTTCTTTTGGTTTATCTTTGAAACCAACAGGAGACTTCCCCCAAGAGAAACTGAGCTATTTGGACCTTTGACGCAGCCTTCCCCGAAGCCTTTCCCAAGACAGTCAGTGCACAGAATGGGAAAGTGGGAAACGAACAAGCCACCGGAGACCTGGGAACAAAACAAGGATGCCGTTTGCAGCCCCAACCCACCAACAATGATGTTTCATTCGACCAACCGCCATGATCTTCCAAAACGGGCGGTCAGAAAAGCGGAAGCTACCCATGGGGTCAGCTCCTCCAGGTCAGTCCCAAGATAGCCAAATGGGAGCCGAGTTCATTAAATCCCAGTTGACTAATAGGGAAAAAGTGCCATTTGAGAGGGAATCACCAGGGGGACCTTCCCCCTACGAATCACTTGAGCAGGTCACTTAACCCGGCTCACGCTGTGCGAAGCTTCGAGGAACATCTGCCAGGTTTCCACCTGGCCCGGGTACAGGTTACAAATAAGGGGGAGAAAAAAACTAATCCTAAGGATTCAACCCCAACCGGGGCCTAAGTACACATGTAACCGGCGCAAATCCTTTGCACCAAGCGGCTAGACCCAGGTCTAGAAGCGGCGTGTCCTCAGTCGGTGCAGCAGTAGGGCGATAGGGGTGGTCTCTGGCTCCGGTTTTGGGCAAACAAGGGTGCCCTTAGGCTCCTAGTAGAAAACTATCAGTCGGTTCGACACGAAACGCAAGGGGAAACAGGCTCAAAACCGTTGAGAACCTGTTCAGCATGTGCTTGTTTTAATATAGAATATGGTTCGGCGTCGTAACACTTTGTCAACTAGGGACTGCAAAGCGAAGGTCAAAGGGGAATCCCGTCGAGTTGCAAGCGGAGACGTCTTGGCAACTGGGCTGGTGATTGATGCGTCACAAAGCAACACAGGCAAAACTTGTGTGCCTTCTAAGAGGGGAAACATGGTGCTCCAAAAGCTTAAGGGAAACAGGCCACAGAGAAGTCCAATCAAGGGAATGCTTTTCTTTGGCAACCTAGTGATGTCTTCAATCATGCACCTTTGGTTGGTATAACCTACTTTTGGAGTGGAACACTTGTTAATCCGTCAGGTTCTGCCCGAATTCCTATGACATTTGTATTGGGCAATACGTTTCTACCCCAGCTAGTGCCCTGCTAGTGCCCTCCAAGCGAAAACAAGATGCTTGATTAATAGTTTGTGATCTTAAACAGACACATGTAACTGTAAATGTAAAACAACAGCCGGAGAGGTGCTGCTATATTATACCCCAACAACATATGTGTTCTATTCTGGTCCCAAACATCTGGTAAGCCTTACATGTGAAACCACAAGCACGAGAAAACAACACAAACAACTCACAAAGCAGAAGAGGTTTGAATCCCAGTTTTCGGGAAACAACATAATGTCAAAGCACCCCTGAGAAACTCGGTTGCTTTCTGTCCCCTGCTAAAGTGTTTAACTTTTAGTGGTTTAATGGAAACCCATTAGTTGGCAACAAGTTAAAGTCCTAACATCCAAGAAAAAAAACAACAAAGGACAGATCCGCGTGCGTGTTTTTTTGCGCGGCACCGACCTGGATTTCTCGGATTTCTGCCGGGGCTCCGCCACGAGATTCTCCGCGCCCAAGGCTCGCCTCGCAGCCGTCAGGATCTTCGTCCTGAGCGCCTGGCGGCTTTGGGGCCCAGATGAGTGCAGTCAGTGGGCCCCTCCAATGGTTTGGAGTCCGGTTGGAGCCGAATCGGTGGTTTGGAGCCGAATCGGCTGCATGAACGCAATGTCACGAACGTGCTCAGCCATCCACACTCGCAACTTCTGCGCCGTGTCAGCCGTTCCAGGAATCCCCATGTTCTGTCACAGCTTCAAGCCATCAAGAAGCGCTGAAGCGAAGTGAGAACTCACCCTGATTGCGTTGGCGGCAGAATTCAGCAACTTCTCCGCTTCGCCGCACAGAACATCAGCTGTGGTTTTGCAGAGAGCCGCCATGTCACAAGCACGCATGCCTTTTGCAAAGTTGCGGCATGACCTGGCAAGCATCTGTGAGTTTGTCAGCTGTGGGGTTTGGAGGTGTGGAGCTTGGGTTTCCGATTTACCATCCAAAAAGCAGGGGTCCAAATCCCCACCAATCCAAACCACAGGGATACCTGAAACAGGGTTCCCTATGTGTCCATTCAAAAGATTACCCCTGCCAACTCAAATGAAACAGGTCTTGCTTAACACCACCAAAATATTACGTGTTTGGTTTTACCATGGTCGTACAGGCACCATTTTTTTTGACAAACAACAGCAGCACCAGCTTCTAAAATCGCCCACGGGTCTTTGGCGCCCGATGGGTCTGACAAGAAGGCCCCAACAAAAACCATCAGAATGGACCGGGCATAGGCGACTCAAAGCTTCCTTCCCAAGCGATGGTTCAAACCAAGTTCAAACACGCCAAAACGAAGCTTGGGGTCTGGGTGTGGTTTAACTGGTCAAAGGGAAACCACATTTTGGGAGACAAGCCCGCATGAGTAGGAAACAAAAGTGCTTTGGCTCTGCAATGGACTTCATGTGAAGCTTTATGCAGCCGCCAAACATGTTTGAGGTGGGTCACGAAAATTCAGAGCCGTTTGAACAGTTCCCAGAGCTGACTTTGGCTCTACCTACATAATTCATAATCATACACCTCTTTTCATGTAGGCCTTGTTGTAATTCGCATTTACGGGACCCAGAGATGACGGGCTTCTTGTTCAATGCATACATATGTATAACACTATATCCACATATACATATGGTATTGAGGTATTTATGTTTGTAAGTTGGTGTATTGGGTTGTCGTGTGCTTAATGCATGTATGTAACTATGTATTCAGTGTTGGTGGTTTCAGTTTAGCCAGGTACATGCAAAGCTTCTCCAAATCCAGATGCAGCAAGTATGTGTGCAAGAATCAGCGCATGAGCCGCGCTCAACATTGAGCAAGTCTCCCTCACAAATGTCCCTTTGGTGAGTGCACCCCATGCCTGTTCCTTTTCCTGCAATAGACAACTTACAAGTAAGTGGCTTTTTGCAGAAATCGATAGCGCTGGCAGATTATCTGAAACAACCAGGGAAACCAGTGCCTATGTTCAAACAAACCAACCTAAGGCCACCTATGTAGACCATTGGAGAAACCATGTCGACAGCTGACTCCCCGAAAAGTCAAGGGGACCAGCCATTTTTAGAGGATCCTTGTTGCTTTCCCCTGCGGTTCTAGACAGTTGGCCCATTTTTAGGATCCTTCCAGAAACCAATCCGATCGGACAAGGTCTCAAAATGAGGTTCCAAAACCCAGCCTGATGGACTTGGCTCGGGCGAATCACCAGCTGCGGATGCTCAGTTCTAAGTATCTTCCCAAGCAGCGAGGTGAATGATCTCAACCTGCTGCTTGAAAACGCCAGCCTCTTCAAAACAGTGACAAGGAACTGGAAAGGGGCTGACTCCCATGATACCAGTGCTCCCACACGAATAGAAACGGGGTATGAATCACCTGTACTTTACTTGGGGACCCTGTGGTGGACTTCACCTATGTCCAATGATCGTGTGTTTTTTATTGAAATTCATAGCCATATATCAGGGAGGCTTACCAATGGCCTATTGTTTCACACCATTCAAGGCCCATAACGGTGCATTTCCAAGGAGTGAGCCCTCAAGTCGGCAACTCCAGCCTCCAGTGACATTGCTCCGGCCTTGGATTTGTACTGGCGGCGAGCAAGATCTTTAGGATGGTCAACATGCTACCAGTAGCACTACTTAGATGGTCCGGGAGTGAGCCACTCACTTTATCCGCTGAAAACTCCTTGTAATTTGTTACAGCTAGCATTATTAACCAGGCAGGCAGGCAGGCAGGCAGGCAGGCAAGCAAGCAAGCAAGCAATCAAGCAGCCAGGCAGACAAACAAACAAACAAACAGAGAGACACAAAGGCAAAGAAACAAAGAAACAAACAACCAACAACCCACCAAACAAGAAAGCGCAACACAAAAGCAGCTATAACAAACAACAACACCCTGCAGAAAACAACCAGTAACAGGACCCGTGGCTACATTCATTGATTACCCCTGTGAACAAATGTCATTCATGGATAATTTTGCATCGTTTGCCAAAAGACACGGGAATATTCTGTGATTTGGTCCTTGCTGGCACTAAGAATGACCTCACGTAATCTGTAAAACCAAGCCTATTTTATTGTCAGTTGCCGTTTTTTTTTTTTTTTCTCTCTCTTTCTTTTTTCTCGAAATAGGGGAGATATGTCTCCTTTTGGATTCTTTTTAAATCCACCGTAAAAAGAGAACCCTCAAAGAGAAAGGCAGACCCACAATGATGGTTTGGTGACATGGTTCGAAATGCGTGGCATGGCAAGGCGGATCTGTCTCAAACTAGGACCCCTCCCTTTCGGATGGGAAACCACGGAAATTTCTCAAAAGGAAGCCAACCGCCTTCTCAACCGGTACGACAGGAACACCAAGAAACGCACACCTCCAGGGCCCTGGATCCGGAGCAACAGCCGTTCCGCCCAAGGCACACTTCTGGCCGAAGGCGGCGCTTTGGCCTGGCAGGGGGCAAGTGTTAGACCAAGCCTCGTAGCGATTGATGCTTTCCGGCGAGGGCATGGGCGAATTGGGTCGCCCCCTTACTTGGGCGGCCCCAACAGACCCATCTTCAAACAAAGCTATGCTTCGGGGGGCCAGTACTTTGAGACAAACACATTTGCCACCCATCAAGCTGATGAACACCGCAATTCACCAGAAATTGGAACTAGCGCCTTTCACCTTTGGTGTGAATCTGCTGCGCAACTTTGCGCCAAACACCGCATGAAGGAAGACAACTGAAGGGTATAAGGTTGATCAACCTGAGCCTTTCAAGGAAAGGCAAGAGAACCTGCACCCTGGATGAAGGTGGCAACACTGCCTTGTCCAAGAAGACCACACGTGCAAAGATCCGGAAATGCACGGCGGATTGCAACGGGAGGTTGGAAACAAAGCTAGAAGTATCCGGACGAAACACGGTGGCTTGCTTCGCTTATTGAGGACCTGTTTGGCATACCTAAGAGAAATCGTTCAGTTTTAGGGGGCTGTCCAATGGATTCGTCCAACAAGGTAATCAAAACGGACGCTTCCAGACTGAAACGCGGGCGGAATCCCGTAGCAAGGGGAGCCATGATAATAGCCTAGATGGTCGCTAGGCTGCCATAGTCAATGGCTGCCTTCTCGCCTGCGGCAAGGAGCCATTCTGCAGGTTCTCAGCTGAGTGGGCCCGATGCGACCTTTCCTCGTCTGGCAAGCTGAGTGAACCAACACCTTTGCAACGCCCGCGAAGCTTTCGCAGCGCAGCCAATATCGGGCACTTCCCAAGCGCCGATGGTGGTAGCTCGCACCGAGTTGGATCCTTTTGAGATGGTTTCAAAGGCAAATCATGCACGAAACCAAGCTGAGTAGGTTTCCAGCACCAGCAAACCTTGAGGGGGGCATATCAACAAGGCTGACTGGGATGAGCTCTAATCAGCAGGTGTACCAACCTGGCCGGTTGTGCCCCAATATACAACAGCAACCCCACCTTTGGAGGTGTCTCCAGCAATGTAAAAAGGACAGCACGCCACAGAGAACATAGTCCCACTTACTGAACACCCATACAGCGCATACATAAACATATACCCTATACCATATACCACACACCATACACCATGTACCATGTACATATACGTATGCATATACATTTGCCGATACATATGGGAAAACACATACACAATCATGTACACATGCACAGACATACAGGTATATCTATGCATATTTCGAGGCCCAGAATCCACCCAGTGCCTGCCCTCGGTATCCACCCCACTCCATGCACTTCCCGTGTACAAAAGGAACGGCTGCGAAGGCATTGGGAAGTAACCCGCGTTCAGATCCCAGGCCGTGGCCTCCAGATCCCGCGCGACCCGCTGCCTCTCTTCCAACCTCAGCTCGTTGCGGGCCGCCTCCGACCGAAATTCGTCTGGGGGAAACAAGTCTGGCGTACCTCCAACTTGAATCCACTTCCACCTTCAGGAGGCATTCATTCATAGAACAAGAGTCCAAGCAGCCTTTGAGATCCTCTGAGGCTGTTTTACTTAGAGCCTTTGGGTAGGAAGTCTTCAAAGTACAATCATGGTCCAGGCCATGGTCATGGTTGCCTGAATAACTTGATTGTGAGGTCTAAACTTATACACATCATACACAGGCTGACGACCACTCCGTTAAAATTTGCCCGACCGACTATGTTGGTCATGGCACAAGTGAAACCAGCCAGCATTCAGATGGAACGAGCCTAAACAAAGTATCAAACAAAGGAGATATAATCAAACTCCGACCGTATGATTGAACAGAAAGGAGTCCTCAAACACAATATCCATTGCATAGGCCACTTTGTTTTCCTGTCTGAGCAAAAGACTTCGTAAGCCTGCTGCCCTTGAGGTTTACTGTTGGTTTCCTTTCAAGCCAACTCCTAAAACGGCACCATCAAACAACAACACTTATTCACCCAATCTCATGTGTGAAAAAGAGCAATGCACGCAAGTCAAAGAAGTCGACCCAACATATTGTATGGCAAAAAGCCAGGCGAATATCCAATCCTATTCTTGTGGGGTTCCCGTGGTAGCCTTCACCAATTCAGATTTGGATTGTGCTCACGCACGCGATCGTTGAGCAAATCAGACCCATCAACTGGGCTGCACTCCACCATTGTAGTGGATGGGCCATTTGATCTCAGATTGCTCCCCTGAAAATGAATAGAAGCAACCTCAAAAGACACCACCAAAAGGAGCTTCTACTTTAATAGGAGCTTGTCAGATTTCCATGTGTTTATCAGTTCCAGCAAGACAGGGTGCAACCATCGCTGACGGAAGCTCCGGGAAGTCCCTCAACGTTGCTGCAGAGCTGACGGAAGATCAGCCATGACCATTGGGAACTAGCCGGAACTCAGCCAAGCTTCCACCGTATTTGCTTCACTGAGCAGCCCGGTTCAATTGTTGCAGCCAGGCAGCATCTGCCTCACATCTGTCAGAGCATACCTTGTGTGCTGATGCAACATGTCGAAAAGGAGGCAGGAAACATCAAACCACATCTCCAACCAAGGGGTGTATTGTTTAGGCAACATGTCCAGGGCTATCTAGCACTAACAACACGTGCAACAAGATTGCTTCAAAAATAAGAATCAAAACATCACAATGAATGGTCCCACCACGTTCGCATGGAGTGGCCCTGCCACATAAAGCAGCCCTTTTGACTTGAACTTCCCAAAGAGTCGGTTGGGAGTTTCCACGATAGAGATTGCAGCCCTCCCCTTCGCGAACCATCAGTTCTTTGGATTGAAGGGCGACCCTCGGCCAGGGGGATTGACGCAAGGGTGGGGTGGCCATTCCCTTCATCTGGCCGTGCTGGCCTTCAGCACTCGTGCTCTTCAGGTTGGCCGTGTTTCTACATACATGAGACTTATTTGGGTCTGTCTCAAAACAGTGGAAGTTTGTTTGGACGGTTTTGAAGGGAAACCAAAAGGAAACCAACCACTTGGAGGGGCTACTAACTCTGAGAAAAGCCACGAATGGGTCCCCCGCAGTTCCACGCGATGGGCATGGTGTTAATGCCCAATCACATTGGTTTAGCATTGGCCACTGTCCGGAAGCTCGGACAATAATCCAAAAATGTTACCAGCCTCAAAGTCGCTGTCATTTGCTGGGGAAAATGCAGGGGAACCCAGCAAATGCACACGTAAGCAACAAATGCCATCGGTGCAATGCGCTGCCAGCATCATGAAGGGTCGGGGCAACATCCTAACAAGCTGGCTGACTCAAACAGTGCCAGTCTCCGGAACTTTCAAACACGCGTCGACGTGTTTGAACAACATCGTCAATGTGACTTGCCTTTCAAGGTCATGGATCACGTTTTTTTTTTTTTTAAATAAAAAAATGGGGGGGCTATCAGATGTTCAACCCTGAATAAGGCTAAATGACAAATTATCCTTGGCTTATCCTTGGCTTATGGGAGAAAGGGTCCAAGAAGACCGACTTGCTCTGGACACGTTCCCTTTTGGTCTTCCCTGGCACCGCCAACGTGCCGAGGCTCAAGGGACAGGCCGAGGCACGGATAGCTTTGAGCCACTTCCGCCGAGTACTGGCGCCATTCCGCGGCCAGCTCCTGCGGATGGAAAACGCGCGCGGCGGCGCTCGGGGAAACCGTGGGCCCGTCCGTCTTTTCATGGATGGCCGATCTCGTTTTGCTGCTGGGACACCCAAGCCAGTAGATGGTTCGGGTTTCATGGGACGAACCACCGACTTCTTTTCGACCCAAAGCATGCGTGTCCTTTTGCCATTTGGGTGAGAACTTGGCATCCAACTGGGAATCCGTCACTTGTGGGCCCAAAAAACCTGCAAACTCTACAATTCCAAGCTCTGAAATAAAGGATCCCTGTGTTTCTGCACCTAAATCACACGATCGGGTCTCACCACAAACCTGCCTTGAACCTCCCACTCTGGCTATCGGAAATCTCTGCAGTGCCTCCCATGAAACTCAAAAAAACGGCTCCATTTCCCAAGGATTTTCCAAGGGATATTCCTCCAAGCAATATTTTCTTATAGTCTTATTGGGCTCGTCAATTCGCAGGGGAGCACATGGCCTTCGAGCAGAGCACTGGCCCGCAAAGCTGTGGCTAACATGGAGACAGCTCCATTCTCCATGAGACTCAGGTATGTCCACATCAGCCGGGAACCCCTGGAGTACGACAATTCGCGACAAGTTCCACACAAGTTGGGGACACCCCCCGCATAGTTAACGACGTATTCAAACGAACCCTACAAGAAATATAATAATAATCGTCAGAATCATAACAGGCCTAATGCTATCCACTTTCAAGGTCAAACAGTGACACAACATGCGATTTGTCACAACCAGCCTGACCCTTGAAACACATTTTGCCCAGGTTCCACAAGAATGGAAGCCGCGTGTGGCACTTATACAAGGGGCAACATGCTTTTCCCCAATTCAAACTCATTAAAGACATTGGAACATCAGTGCCACCCCAAAAGGGTTTGCAAAGGTTAGTCTAATCCCATCTGCCCGCCCCTTGTGACCACATCCGTGCCCTGATTCAAGTAGAACCGTCCAACCAGAGCCTCGAGAAAGCGCTCGGCTGGGTGAACCTCCAGAATCCCAGCGGACTTCCTGCGAACACATCCGCTCGAGGCGGCAAAAAAAGCGGAGGTGAACCAACAAGTTGTTTGAAATAGTGCTTTTCAGGGCTGTGGGAAATGACCACGGTGATACAACAAAAGGGCTTCCCAAAGACTACAGAAACCCCCCGTATAAAGGCGGAAGATTCCCTTGTATCACAGAAGTGGGGATAGACCTCTTGATCCCACAACCCTGGCAGTGCTTTTTGTTCGACTTAAAAATGCGTTGAAGTATCAAACTCTTCCGCGAAGCTTCCGCATTGTGAAGGGTAATTACCTTCCGCGAGCGTCTTGTTGCATAAGTTTATACAAGTGCTTCTACTGGCCTGCCGCAGGCAAGTTGCCTCTGGAAACTAAGGAAAGCAGCTTCCGCGAGGGAACTCGTGTGCACGATTTGCTAGTAAACGTGCTTGGCAACAACCACCCAAGCGAAATCAAACTACTATGCGCAACTCAACAACGTCCCTTCCGCGGACTTCCGCAAGCTTCCGCGAGAAAAACAGCTTCCGCCAACCTTCCCTTGCAGTGGGGCGCTACCTTTGTTGATGATATGTCAACATCTATACATGTGTGCTTGAGCAGTATTAAACAACAGTCACTCAAATGTGTAATAATATGTATACATTACAATGCTAGACACAACAAGAGTATATAAACATGATAACAAAATTGGTATAATCATAAAGAGGAAAAAACCAATAGTATATCATTGTTATAAGACACTGCACAGGATCACGCTGACTCTGCCTCCTTCCATGGCTGTTTCAGTGATTTGGTAAGTCATCCCAGGCTTCAAGGGTTCTGAACATAGACGTTCCCTTCGGTAAAAGTAGACGGCCCTGGTACATGGAATAAAACCCGTCTAAACCCGTGCCATCTGGCTGCGGGTCAAAAATGGGTACCCAAAATGGAACCTGGTAAATGGAACCAAGGACTAATACCTCGGTCACCTTGTGGTGAAAATTTTGACCCATACCCATCCATCTTGAAAAAAAAAACATGACACCTATGGTCATGAAGACCCACTGACCACTGCCCTCCCCGAATTTTCCCCCGCGCCTCCGCGCCGCCTCGGCGGCCGCGCGGCAGAGCGGCGCCGAAAGGCCGTGCAGAGCCAGCAGCGTTCGGCCTACGAAGGTGGCGCCGAGGTCCTCGCAGGGCTCAAAGGGGCCAAACAAAAATCTAACTTGAGGCTCCTTAGAAGTTCCCTTTGAAAACCCATCCGTGTTTACCGGAATCTGCTTGTGGGAAAAGACTCCCCTTTTTGGGCGGCAAACAAAATGCAGGGTATTTGTATAGCGCTTGCTGCCTGTTTGCTTGACGGTGTGTCAAATGCTGTGCTTTCTCATTGCTGGTCTCCTGTGGTGTCCTTTAAACAAGGTCTTAAGCTCCTTGGTGCGATTGCTGTCCCTTGGTGTTTGGCCTTCAAACACCGTTTCTTCAAAAAGCCTTCAAACACCGTTTCTTCAAAAACTGTTCAACTCCATACTCCTTTTGACGCCTTCCGTGTCAACCTCTTCCCGACTTTGGTCCTCCCCCAAAGTTGTGGCCGTCGGCAAGTTGTCCAGCATCTCCTCCAACTCCGCTGGCCTCCGGACTTGTCTACCGCTAAAACGAGCTTCAGGTAAACAGGTCCAGAAGCTGAAGTTCAACAGGTCCGTGGGAACCTGACACCGATCAACCAATGCCACGAATTAGTACGCCAAGGGGCTGAATGTTTTTTGACAAACCCGTCTTTCAAACGGGCCGAAACCGAATGGCCAGCGTGATGTCAGCATCCTATCAACATGAACCTCCGGGATGGAAAGCTTAAACTCCGAAAGCCTACATTCCCCACATTGGATATAAAGCTCTTGTTCTCCCAGGTTCCCACTTCAAAAGGCTCCCCAAGACACATGTATGTTCCGATCCAAAGAGAGCACCAACTTTGACTATACTTTGACCCACCCCCCTCCCAATAGCCAACAGAACGCAACCAGGCAAAAAGAGCCACAGTCATCTTAAGTCCAAAAGTGGACTTAGACACTTGTTGGGCTGCCCCAAGGGCACTTTTCGAATCTAAAACTGGCTGTGTCCAGGATCTTCGAGTGGTCAGTTTTCGGGGGCTTGGAGGCTCGCGTGCAGGCGATCCGTTTGGTGATGCTAGGGGTGTTGCTGTTTTTTTCATATTTTCACTTGTCGAGTCTCAACTACAAGTGAGTCATAATCAAAACCTGGTACTAAAATGGTCCACCCAGAACCATGTAAAGAATTAATTAAGAAGCAGCTATTTGTGGTTGGGATGATTGTGCCTTACTAACCTTCATCCAGGTTTTGATTGTGGCTCAAGTGGTCCTGCTGGTGATGCTGGCGATGTTGCTGCTGTCTCTTATGTTCCGTTCTAGAGAGGATTAAAAAGTGACGTTAGGCGCTTGTTGGGAGGCTTCTTGAGTGGTCCGCTTTCCGGGGCTTCGAAGCTCGCTTGCAAGCGATCCATTTGGTCATGCAACGAATCCAGGCGGTTTGTTGAACAACCGCATCTTCTGATCAGATATGATGGAATCTGCTCTCGAGATGTCGCGCAATTTTGCCACTGCTCTCCAGTTCTCGGGGAAGGTTTGATCGCCGAGCAAACCTCCAACACAACTTGTGAGCGGAAAATCAGATTCGGCGCAGACCTGCCTCTGGAGGTTGCTTGACAAGCGGCTGGCCAGATACCATGGTATAGATTTCCGAGTGGGCTTGCAATCAACCGCTTGCAGTGTTGGGGAGCACCGAACAGACTTCTTGCCGGGCTCATGACTCACACTGGGGAAAGTCAACATGAGGACATCTCTCAGCAGGTCAAGGCGCAGGCTGAAAACAAGTGCAATCTTCCATCTGCAGCAGAGCGCCTTTCAGTCATACTGTCCAACATGAAGGACGCTCCCTTGCAAATTCATACAAAGTCAGAACCAATGGCTCCAGAATTCAAGTTTCCTAGAAGCTTCTGAGAATGGTTTACAGAAGTTCATAGAAGTGCTTTGAGAACCATTCTAGTGGGGAGGGGTATTGCTTAGCCCGAGGCCCTAGTTGAACCAAATCCTTTGGAGGCTGAACTGGCACGGCCTCTTCAAGTCATGATGATGCCCACAATCGAAATTGACCAGACAAACTGCACGTGTGATGGACAATTGTGCGGAAACATGGATCTCAACACGCGGAACCTCTGATTCATCTTCTACGAATCCAAAGTGGACATCATCAAACAGAGAAACTCTGCTCACACGTAGCTGGGTCCTGCGCAGCAATGATGGCCTGCAGATTTAACATGGCTTCACGGATCTCGCTCCGTTCCTGGCACTCACACATATCCACAAGCTGCCTGAACTGCATTCTTGCCAAGCAACGGTTCAAGACTTGAACGTTGATCCTCATCCCAGGCCTTGCTTCGCTGGGGAGAGAGATCAAATGCGCCTCGAGCAAGGCGATCACCTCTTGTGCTGGAAGCTTCTTGGCGAGCAAGTGAGGCAGTACCAAAGCTAGGACATCTGCTTCGCCCAACCTGTTGATTGCATCCCGCTGATTCCTGCTCAATCGCGTTCTGTTGCTATGGCTACAGTGACAAAAGCTGCAGGCAGACTCTGCAGAACAGGAGCCGTGCCTCATGAGGATGCAAGGTTGGTGGCAAAGCTGTGGGTGACCAAAGCTTCCGACTGAAAGCTTCGCTTTGCTCGTGCGATCGGGTGACTCATGGGTCATTGAAAAACACTGGCTCTCAAAAGGCCTAAGGATTGACATGTTTGAGCCAAAATGGGCTCTGATGGAACACATGCACTTACAAGTGGGAATGTGTCAACACCATGAACCCGTGAAAATGGTTGGGATCTTGTCAGATCCACTTAAAAAGACCACTTGCCTAAGCAGCTGAAGCCATAGACGCATGTCGCAACCTTTTCGGACCTGGTTGGCCAACATTGCAAAACCGATGTCAAATTCGCTCGAATCGCCAGCAAGAAGCATGGGTCGCAAATCCAGCCCTCGTGAAACACCGACCGACGCCGCCAAAGTTTCCTTCGGAGCCCCACTCTAAGGCCCCAGGGTTGATTGGCCGATGGCTGAAACGAAAGCCCGCAGCAAAAGCCATTTCAAGGTATGAAAAACAAATATATACCCTCCACATATTTAGTGTTCTTGCTTAAGTTATACATATATATATATATGATCGTACATAGATACACAAACATTTGTAGGGGGGCTCGTGTTGATGGCACATGACCTAATTGGACATAAGATGGTATTCGAGGGGCCCAACATGGTTTTGTTGATCAATGTGGCCACCGCTCGAGCCACCAGTTTTTGCGCCATTCATACGGCCCCGCCCTCTGGCCACCAGCCTCTACTGCCTGGGAGAACAAGGAAAAGGGAAGGAAAGCAATCCGAATTCGCTCCCGAGTACTAAAAAGGGTCGCCCTGCATGAAGCATTGGAGGAACAAATATGTAAATGGACCCCTGGCACGGACAAATGACATGCACAAGCTCAGCCGGGGACAAGGCAGACAGGGCACCCGAAATCGCTCCCACATGCTGCAATGGCGCGTGAACTGTAGAAAACACGTCTATTTACTCGAGTCTAAATGGCCTGGCACGGTAACATGGCACACGCGCACCTCAAAAACGGGTCTTGAACGAGGCGAACCGCATAACGTGCGTAACCATGGATGCAACCAAAGCAGCAACCAAGCCGTTCACCTGTTCAAAATCCCAATTGTCCAATGTTCAATAAACATGCTGAGATGATGTTGACCACACACACACACAAACCACTGCATCCAAGAGAAATAGGACTGCATAAATTATGCAGTTGCTCTAACCAGTCTTCCTTTGGCCGTGGTTTGGGGTTCCTAGAGACTCTCGTGGATACACCTATAGCGCTATCCAGTTCGGGGGTGCGTGGTTCACCAAGCTATTTGCTGGTTGCCACCATCGTGGTTTCGTTGTGGAGTACTTGCATCACCCACCCTTGGGTTCAGACCCATGTGTTGGGGGTCACCTTGACTCCGTTCTGCACGGTGTGCTTGACCACGCCTTGTCAGGAAGTGAAAGAAGGCGTCCATGGCGCTGGACAGCAGCACGAAGAAGGACAACGTGCTGAGGCTCCTGCGGTTCCAGCTGCCCAGAGCCTAGTGGCTCCGGAAGAAAAAGGTAGCCTCTCCACTAACATGGAACTCACCAGAAAGTCCAGTTTCAAGCAAAAGGGTCTTCCAGCACCCCGAAACCTCAGGTTCAATGTCAGTGGACAGGGGTGCAACCTTGCACTTTCGGAGGACCGGTGCACCGAAGAGGGAAAGCGGGTGCCACTGAACTGGGGAAACCCTTCAAAGTGGTCTTGCCATGTGCAGCCATCCACGTACTCCTGGCCCAATCACGCCCGCGCTGAAGGGAGGAAAAAGGCTATCTGAGGTGCTTGATATATAATTGCATCCTGTAAGATTCTTCCCACGGGTGGCTCCTCAAACCTTCAAAAGTTCGAACAAGCGCCGAAAAGCCCTGACACGTGCAAATCAATGGCTCGACTTTTGAGATTGGTCTTTCCAAGAGACGTTGGAATGCGGACCATCCATCATATCTCTTCAGGGCTCGAAAACCCTTAGTCCAGCGACCCATCGACAAACTTTGTGCACCATAGACAAATTAAGCATGCTTCCCGGAAGGACATGGGGAGATGAGTGAGGGCCCTAGGTGTTGGGCACTTTGAGTCGCCAATGTCCGTCCCAAATGGATCATACGGACATTTGGACCGAACCTCGTATGGTGTTGATCTTTCACCAACCTGTGTTGAGGAATCTCCTGAGGAAACTCTTATAACAAAGGGTCTCCGGTTGATTTCGGGGGGAATAGCACACCATGTTTGGTCGAACTTAAAAAGGAACCTCCACAGACAAAAAAACAAAACACCCCAGGCCGGGCTTAATGCATGAATCCCCACGCCCTCCTGGGTTCAATTGCTGGAAACCCAACCTCCCCCCCCCCCCGCCCGCGCAGAAACCCGCAAGCGGTCGGTGCCAATGCATCCGGTCCTTGCCCCCGTGCTGTTCGAGGAGAACTTGAAGACGAAGCGCCGACAGTCGCCGTCCACCCAAAAGCCTCGCGGCAGCTGAATCGCCGGAGCCCAGCTTCGGCTTAGGACTGGACCATCCGTCTGCACGGACGGTCCAAAGAGGCGTGTCGAAATAGGTTTAACCTGATTTAACCACGAAATACCAAAAAAGGCTGTTGACTGATGATGGCTTCTTGTGGATTCACTTGAACAAGGCCAAATACATAACAACACCTTCCCACACGGGTTTCACCTCACCTCAGACCTCTCACACATGTTCGAGAACAACTAAACCATCGGCAATGGACGTGGAATCCTCTGCGGCTGCCATGCGAATCACTGCCAACACCTTCCAACTGCCTAGCTGCAAAGTATGTGTCTGGTGATTTTGACTGATCAAGCAAGCAATCAAGCCAGCCAGCCAGCAAGCCAGCACGCAAACAAGCAAGCAAGCAAGCAAGCAAGCAAGCAAGCAAGCAAGCAAGCAAGCAAGCAAGCAAGCAAGCAAGCAAGCAAGCAAGCAAGCAAGCAAGCAAGCAAGCAAGCAAGCAACAAATAAATAGAAAAGCAAAACAACACAACACAAACCAACACGAAACAATACAAAACATCACAATCAAATCAAACAAACGAAGAAACAAGCCAACTCCAGAACCGTGTAAATGCTAGAAAGACTGGATAGGCAGTTTCCAAAGCAGGGGATCCCTCCCAAATGTTGTTCGAGAATACCAAGATAATATCTTAGAAGAACCCCTTTTGACACTGATTGACAATAGTTGTTGATTGGCGCTTTACTTGCGATACTTTGGGCATCAACCGCTCGGGCTCGAAAAGAAAAACAAAACACACAAAACAAGATATCTACTTCGCCAACGAAGCATCCTTTGCCGGTTCCCCCCCCCATTTGCGGAGAAGCCCTTCCGAAACACCAAAGCCAGGCTGTCACGTGGGCTCCCTTGGCTCACAGAAGGGCCCTCCACTGGCCATAGTCCGAGTCGATCGCTGAGACCAGCCGGGGGTGCGGGCGCCTTTTGGGGAGTCTGAGTCGACTTTGAAGCCCTCCAAAAGCTCAGCCCAAAGGAAGCAACCGGCGATCACCTTTTGGGGTCACTAAAAATGGACCCAAAACGGAAAAACCGAAAGGTAGAAGAGGTCGATTCGCTTTTCACAGAGAAAGAGATTGGGGGCTGGGGCCTCGCAGGCGTTGAAGCTGCAACACGCCGTCCAGCGCTTTGTGGGGCGAATGGTCCCAGCCTCGCGCTCTGAGAGACTCACGGGGATTGGAGTTGGGGAGCGAAACATGGCTTTGCTTGGGGGGTAGTTCCCCCGTCTTTTCAAACTGGTGCTGCCTTTTGGGTTGTGGGGTGTGCTGGAAAGGATCCCTGAATGGTGAACATGTCCCTAGATCTGTGTCCAAATACGATGTGGAAACCACAAAGTTCGATAGGCTCGCATAAAAGAGGCTTGTGGAAAGTGAGGGCCCCCCAAAACAGGCGACTCGTTTCAAAGGATATTAAAAAAGAGCACCCTCAACAATATGCAAGACCCCAACAAAAATTAAGAGAGATGCTGAGAGCTTGAAGTGTGCCAGTGAAAAAAGCAATCGTTGCTACGCTAAATCATCCAACAAATATAACATCTAACATCTACCAACGTGGTAATTTCAATTATGCAAAATCTGGGCGGCATGTCTCGTTTATGTTTTTTTTCTTTTTTTCGACTCAAAGCACCCCACTCCCTCATGGAAGCTGTTGTTGGAAAGAGGGTAGCCAAGAAATCTGGACAAATCTCTAAATAATGACAAAACATGGAAACTCTGCACTGGACAAACCAATATATTTGCACACACCTCATCTTATCTCGGCATAGCCCTCCCTCAGAACGCCTCCGTGGAGGTCCAGTCCTTGAAATGAGGAAGCCAATCATTTCACTTTTGGGTCTACCAATCATGTGGCTGTGGGTCAAAACCAATGGTACCATTTTGAGGTAGGTGCACCACCCATGAAAGAACCTATTTTAGTGGGGATTGGGATGTTCGCTGGGAGTACGGGATTTTGACCCATGGCCATATTATCATAAAGGTCTAACTTGCCCATCCTATCATTTCTACTAAACCGAGGAGTAAACCCTTCACCTCAGTTGTTCAGTGACCCTGGGAAAAATTGGGAACCCTTTTTGGGGAAGACCATTTTTGGTGGGGCAGCCACCCAAAAAAAAGTGGGTCACATAAACTGAGGCAACCAGGGCATCGGGCGCTGGGGTTTTCTCCGCGCTTGGGTGCCCGGCCGAGGCACTTCACCAGCACTTGGCATGGCAGCTCCCGCAAACCGCTCGCCTGCGAATCGAACGAACTGTGGTCAACCCGTGGGAAGGATCCGTCTCGAGGGTCATTCTACTTCGTGCTATTTCAAGGGAACTGCATTTCAATTTCTCCAAAAAAACGTGGTATCATAACTGCACCATGGAAAAATAAAGAAAAAGAACCTCTTGGAAAAACAAACCAAACTGCAATGCTTGACCCTTGCACAAGGCAAAATCAATTGTCCCGGAAACGTCAAGCCCACTCACTCGGACCCGAAGGGCAATGAGCTTCAGGAAGTGTGGCCCAGGTGGACACGGCAATCAAAGGGATCCTTGGGTCCAAAACTCGAACTCTCCTAAGAGGCCGCCTCAGTTGCTGATACATGGGCTCGTAAACCTGCTCAGCCATACTTTGATAAGGGTATAACTAGTCGTAACCGTAACCCCTTTGACCAAATCGAGACGGCCGAGCCCTGCCGCTCCCCAAACCCCATCCTTGTCATGGTTTTCTAGACACCCTATTGCTATTGGATGGGATGACCCAACTCACGTCGCCTCAGCCACCTGCACAGCGGCGGGCAGCACGCGCTGCACATCGCCCACCACCACCTGCGCGTTGCAGCACCCTTTGCATGACCTGTTGGTTGCTATGTACTGGCGACTTTCCTGTGATGCTTGGAAAGTGTTGGGTTGGACCCGGGGGCCGCCACTTGACTCGACCCTCCCAGTTGAAAAGCACACGCATGCTTTTATCAGGCTACTTGTGCCCAAAGAAGCAGGGGGAGCAGTCCAGCGGTTCCCCCTTCCTCCACTGGCTACCCGTCGCCTCCAGCACGCCCATAGCCTGGCCGAAAACAAAAACGGAGTGGAGCAGAAAGCATGCGCCGCCGGATGGTGTGGCTGTGGGGTTGGAAACCTTTGTGGCTGGTTGATCCTTTGATAAACATTACACTCTAGTCCGGGAGGTATGTCATCAATTCCTCAAAATCCAGAAACAACTGAAAGTTTGAGGGCAGGGGTGAAAACTGCAAAAAACACAAAAACACCGAATGCGTAATAAACCTACCCCGGCATTTGGACTTGGACGACATTGTCAACTGGAGCTGAGGCCACATTTGGCACCAAAGCCAGTCACATACAAAACGCACATAAACGACAAAACAAACATATATATATATACATATATATATATATATATAAACAACAATATAATCTTCACCTGCAGAGAGCAAGAGATTCGGCCAAGTCCCTGGATATTTTTCTGGAGCTTGTTTCTTAGGAGGAGGACTGATCTTTGTAAGTTATTATACTGGAAATGAGAACCTGAAACGAGAACCGCACCTGCAAGCAACCTTCATCCTGGGTCGGTCGCGAACTCCCTGATGTCCCGATTCAGTTTGCCCGGAGCACGACTCTAAGTGCCCAAAGTGAGGTGCAAGACAAAAGGAAGGAGAACTGACAGCGGGACTTTGCGTCATATAGCTTGTTCAATCTACATGTATATATATATATATACATACATATATATATATATAGATAGATAGATACATATATGGTACCCCCCCATGGACCCTGGTTTGGTGCATTTGACCTGTATTTTCCAATGCTTTATGCCTTTGTGTTGCTTCTTGGATTTTGTGTCACAATTAGGTGGGTGCCATTATGCCATTTGTATTTATGGTATGCATGCATGCATACAGATGAGATAAAAGCAATGACATCAGCATCTGCAATCTGAAAGAATTTAAATGCATCCAAGAGTATAAGAACAACTCAGAAATGGATTTTTCAACTTCAGGATTCAAGATTCAATAATCCGAGAAACTATTTTCTGGGAATCTTGAATCTTGAATCCCGGAATTGTTAAAAACTTAAAAATTCGGGGTTGTCACCATACTCTCGGTGTTCAATAAGATTCTCGGAAAAGTTTTCCGTGACATGTGTCAAACTCGAATCTTCAATCCAGTGGCAAAATACGTTCGAGGTGTTAGAACAACTTGAACATTGTTAGGGGTTGACCAGGCCAGATGATTCTCAGGAAAGTTGTTGTTTGTGCGCTCCTCAATATTGAATCCTCAAGCCAGTGGTAAAGCACTTTCAAGTGTTGGAAGAACTTGAATGTTGTTTGGGCTTGGCCAGGATTGACAATTCTCAGGAAAGTTTTCTGTGCAATATTCAATCTTGAATCTTCCATCCAGTGGAAAAATATGTTCAAGTGCTTAGCGATCCAGTGGAACCACTTTCAAGTTATTAGTTAGACAAACTTTTAAGTGCTTTTGGTGAGCTTCATTTCAGCCATGCTCATGTTGACCCTTTTCCAGGAGGTAACAAAGGTAGGTGTAATGCTCAAAAGCACTGTATGTACCAGAATCTTAGGCAGAGGCGCAGGATCATTAGGGGCACTATATATATCCGCCGACATGTTGGACATAAGAAATGCTCCTTACCTCTTTACCTCTAACCCCTCCCCTTACCCCCCCCCATTTCAAACTATTGCGGGGGGGGCGGGGGGTCCACGTACCACGCGGTGATTCGAAGACGCTTCACTATTCATTGTGCGGGCTTGCGCAACTCAGTTTGTCAAAAACATTGGGTGTTCGCTCCAGCGGCACATCGCCAGCATCACCTGCATCATCCGCATCAGCGCCTGCCAAGGATGCGGATGATGCAAGTGATGCTGGGGATGTTGCCCAAGCTGGTGAAGGAACATCTGGAAATGAAGGAGGGAAAGGGGAAAAAGGATCTCAACAGGGAAACGGGGGGAAAGATCTCAGGGAGGAAAGGGAGAAGATCTGGGGAAAAAAAGATCTTAGGGAGGAAAGGGAAAAGATCTGAGGAAAAAAGGCCAACAATAAAAGGGGGGAAAAGATCTTACAAAGGAAAAGGGAGAAGCTCTCTGGGGGGGAAGGGCCTTAGGAGGGAAAGGGGGGAAAGGATCTCAACAGGGAAAGGGTGGGAAAGATCTTAGGGAGGAAAGGGGGGGGGGGGGGGAAGATCTTAGGGAGGAAAGGGGAGAAGATCTGGGAGAAAAGGACTTAGGGGGGAAAGGGGGGAAAGGATCTCAACCGGAAAAGAGGGGAAGGATCTTAGGGAGGAAAAGGGAGAAAGATCTCAGGGGGGGAAAGGCCTTAGGGAGGAAAGGGTCTCAACAGGGAAAGGGTGCGAAAGATCTTAGGGAGGAAAGGGAGAAGATCTGGGGGGAAAAGGCCTTAGAGGGAAAGGATTTCAACCGGAAAAGAGGGGAAGGATCTTAGGGAGGTCAAGGGAGAAGATCTCGGGGGGGAAAGGGGATCTCAACAGGGAAAGGTGGGAGAAGATCTTAGGGAGGAAAAGCGAGAAGATCTCAGGGGGGAAAAGGCCTTAAGATCTCAGGGGGGGAAAGGCCTTTGGGGGGGAAAGGGGGGAAAGGATCTCAACAAAAAAAGGGGGGAAAACATCTTAGGGAGGAAAAGGGAGAAGATCTTGGGGGGAAAAAGCCTTAGGGGGGAAAGGGGGGGAAAGGATCTCAACAAGGAAAGGGTGGAAAAGACCTTAGGAAGGACAAGGGGGAAGATCGCAGGGGAAAAAAAGGCCTTAGGGGGGAAAGGGGGGGGAAAGGATCTCAACAGGGAAAGGTGGCAAAAGATCTTAGGGAGGAAAAGGGAGAAGATCTCAGGGGGGGAAACTCAACAGGGAAAGGGGGGAAAAGATCTTCGGGAGGAAAAGGGAGAAGAACTCAGGGTGGGAAAAGGCCTCAGGGGGGAAAGGGGGAAAAGGATCTCAATAAACAAAGGTGGAAAAAGATCTTAGGGAGGAAAAGGGAGAATATCTCAGGGGCGAAAAGGCCTTAGGGGGGAAAGGGGGGAAGGGATCTCAACAGGGAAAGGGGGGCAAACATCTTAGGGAGGAAAAGTGAGATGATCTCAGGGGGAAAAGGCCTTAGGGGAAAGGGGGAAAGGATCTCAACAGGGAAAGGGGGCAAAGGATCTAGGGAGGAAAAGGAGAAGATCTGAAAAGGCCTTAGGGGGAAAGGGGAGAAAGGATCTCAACAGGGACAGGGAGAAAAGATCCTAGGGAGGAAAAGGGAGAAGATCTCGGGGAAAGGGGAAAGGATCTCAACGAGGAAAAGATCTTGGGGAGGAAAAGGAGAAGATCTCAGAAAGGGGGGAAAGGATCTCAACAGGGAAAGGGGGGAAAACATCTTAGGAGGAAAAGGGAGAAGATCTTGGGGGGGAAAAGGCCTTAGGGGGGAAAGGGGGGGAAAGATCTCAACAAGAAAGGGGGCAAAGGATCTTAGGGAGGAATAGGAAAGATCGCGGGGGAAAAAAAGCCTTAGGGGGGAAAGGGGGGAAAGGATCTCAACAGGGAAAGGTGGCAACAAGATCTTAGGGAGGCAAAGGGAGAAGATCTCAGGGGGGGGGCCTTAAGGGGGAAAGGGGGGAAAGGATCTCAGCAGGGAAAGGGGGGGAAGATCTTAGGGAGGAAAGGGAGAAGATCTGGGGGCAAAGGCCTTAGGGGGAAAGGGGGGAAAGGGGGGGAAGGGATCTCAACAGGGAAAGGTGGGAAAGATCTTAAGAAGGAAAAGGGAGAAGCTCTCAGGGGGGGAAAGGCCTTAGGGGGGAAAGATCTCAGCAGGGAAAGGGGGGAAACAATTTTAGGAAGGAAAAGGGAGAAGATATGGAAAGGCCTTCGGGGTAGGGGGGGAAAGGATCTCAACAGGGAAAGGGGGCATCAACAGGGAGAGGGATCTTAGGGAGGAAAAGGAAACTCAGAGGGAGAAAGGGCCTTAGGGGGGAAAGGGGGAATGGATCTCAACAGGGAAAGGTGGCAAAAGATCGTAGGGAGGAAAAGGGAGAAGATCTCAGGGGGGGAAAGGCTTTAGGGGAGAAAGGGGGGAAAGGATCTCAGCAGGGAAAGGGAGGGGAAAGATCTTAGGGAGGAAAGGGAGAAGATCTGGGGGCAAAGGCCTTAGGGGGGAAAGGGGAGAAATGATCTCAACAGGGAAAGGGGTGGAAAAGATCTTAGGGAGGAAAGGGAGAAGATCTGGGGGAAAAAAGGCCAACAGGGAAAGGGGGGAAAGATCTTAGGAAGGAACAGGGAGAAGGTCTCAGCAAGGGAAAGGCCTTAGGGGGAAAGGGTGGGAAGGATCTCAACAGGGAAAGGGGGCAAAGGATCTTAGGGAGGAGTAGGGAGAAGATCTCAGCGGGGGGAAAGGCCTTAGGGGGGAAAGGGGGGAAAGGATCTCAACAGGGAAGGGGGCAAAGATCTCAGGGAGGAAAGGGAAAAGATCTCAGGGGGGGAAAAGGCCTTAGGGGGGAAAGTGGGGGAAAGGGAGGAAAAGGGAGATGATCTCAGGGGGGACAAAGGCCTTTGGGGGGAAAGGGGGGAAAGGATCTCAACAGGGAGAGCGCGGAAAACATCTTAGGGAGGAAAAGGGAAAACATATCAGAAGGAGAAAGGGCCTTAGGGGGGAACGGGGGAATGGATCTCAACAGGGAAAGGGAACAAAAAGCTTTGAGGGGAAGTGGGGCAAGGGGACAATTCCAAAGGGACGCAAATAAGAAAGCAGGCCCGTAATGTCGGCGGCCTTAGCCGGAGGCGTAAAAATATATATATACGTATATATATATATATATATATATTATGTATGTATGTGTGTATATATAGATGTACATATTTATGTATGCTCACACACCGTCACCCCCGTCGCCCTCTTAAACCACCTGTCCACATTTGCTCATCTACTACCTCCACCTTTTGAGATAGAATGAATTTGTTTCCTGTGCAAATACAACTTTACATGCAACTGATTCAGCTAGAATCCCTGTTTCGAGATAGTTTTAGAATTTCCACCTCTCTTTTTTTGAAATGTCTCCTTTGGAACACCGTCTCACAAGTTCACTGCCGGACCTTTCTTGTGCTACAAAAGGGCCAGAATGTGAGTAACACAAATCGTATTTTGAATTGCCTTGTAAAGTCCCATAACTGTTTAACCATATTCGATATGAATTATATTTGAGAAGTAGTCTCTATTTAATTGTTATTATCAAAAGCCAATTGAATTGTGTTTGTATAAGATTATATTTAACACTTAGATTATCACTTAGATTATATTTGGGAATAAACTCATATCTAACGTCTATTGTTGAAGATTAGTTGGAGTTTTCCCGAAACTATATTTACATTTTCATGTAGCTCTTATTTGGCAAGGAATTGCTTATCTAAGCTGTAATTGAACATAAACACATGTTTGACAACTATATCCTTACTAAGCTATATTGGAAAGGGCATCATACTGGGACATTATGGAGGACTCCGGGCTCCAAATTATCAGGCTTTGGGGACCCACAATTGGACATTTCGAGAATATAAATTTTGAGCTTCTAGATTTGCCATCCCCAAAAGGCAGTAAAACCAGGGTCCTGGGGGGGGGGGTAGCATATATATATATATATATGTATATATGTGTGTGTGTCGAATTCCAACCTGAGCAGCGGGCCAGCAACCCATGATATGGGTTACACACAAGTCATCTATCCGGGCGACCCAACTACTGGATTTCCCTTGAATCAATGGGATGGTTAAAAAAAAAAAAAAACACATGATAGTCAAGAGGCTTTTCGCACAATTACGGCACCCTGGCTTGATCAGTGTGTGTTCTGGGAAGCAAGGCACGTCCGAGCAAGGCACGTCAGCTCAGGATCAAGGCGTCGTAGAGCGAAACGGACCCCAAGCTGTTCGCTTGGCTGATGTCTACGCGAGACCGATGCCGACTGGTTGATATCAAAGCGACACCTGCCGGTGTTTTTTTGTTGGTGCGGAAGGGAAACACAAGTATCTCTCGAATCCGTAGCCCATAGCGGGGCCATCACAAGGGAAAGCCCTACCATGGCACAAGGATCTTATCGGATTGATTTTGAACAACTCAGATTGTACTTCCAAGATGGCGCCTGCAGCAGGAAGTAGGCGTCCGAGATGGCAGGGTTGGATTGCGCCATGACGCGCCTGCCCCGCGCATCTCGAGGCAAACTCCTGATCAACATGTGGCAGCTTGTCGCATGTTGCGTTTATTCACAAAACCTAAGGGTTGGTACTTTACCCTTTTGAATCTCATAAACGCCCCTCAAAGGGTACGTGCACCCTCTGGGAAGGGTGCTCTTCATGACATGACCACTGACCATTCTGCGAAGGTTAGCCAAAACCCAAGCGAAGGGGCCAACCGAAAGCTATCATGGAATGCTCGAGGAGGCAAGGAGAGGTCTACTATGCCTTCCTAACCCAATGGATCCCTACCCAATCCCAACGCGCACCAAGGCTTCCCACTGCGATTCCATGTGGCGGCGGGCCACACACACAGGAAGAATCGGAGATAACGGATCTGGTCGAACATGTCAAACACGCAGTTCACACTGGGCCGCTCCTTGTACAAATCCTCAGTGTGTGTGTGTGTGTGTGCGCCTGACTTGTAGATGGTCACATGTGTGCTGCGAACGTGCTTACATGGATGCAAACGGGCAAACACCACATTGACCAATGCCAAGCCGTGACAAACAAACTACACAATCAATGCACTGCACAACCAAAGCAAATGAGACACACAATGTTTGAGAGATGCATCTGGGTGAATTACGGGGAGAGACACAGTAACCAGGGACCCCGTAGGATCCCCATAGGAATCTTCAAGGGTAAGCTCCCATAAATTTGCCCAGGCCATGTCATTCCGCTGTTGCAAACGCGCCCTCCTCCTTAAGACCAACCCAATCTGAAGGTTCTCAAGGCGAGCGCCTCGGGCAACCCTGGCGCCCCGCTCCTGTCGAGCTCCTCTTCCTTTATCCCCGCCAAGCGGTACATGGGCGCGCTTAGGCGGACGACGGTGTCGATGTCCAGGTCCTTGGCATTCGTTTGGGATGGAAGGCGCAACATTTTGCACAGGTTGAGGACTTTAAGAACTTCAATGGTGCAAGTGGAACCTCGAGGGGTCATGAATATCAAACAAGCTGAGGGCTCCTTTAAGGGCATTTGGGATATACATTTGCACCAGGAGATCTTTGAGGGGCATGTCGCAAATTTGGGGACCCCGACCCCGTTTTCGATAGCCGGGGGGCAAACAGCTTTAGAGGCACGGTGTCAGAGACTTCTACGTATTCTCTGAAAGGTACCAAGGGACCTGAAAAAAGACAATCCAACAGAAATCACACCAACGTTCAAACTACCTCGGAGTGATGAGCCTGGCTATTCACCCACACCCCTCATAGTCAATCAAAGGATTCATCAAGCAACGGAGTCATTAAGATTTATTCCCACCAAATCCACGTTTCGTCGACTACCAAAGGCTAAGGAACCCAGCGGAGTCTAACCGGTTACTCCACACGTTTTGGCAAGACCATGATAGTGCCGCTTGGTTCGGTTGGCCCTTTGACTCCTCTTTAACCTATTGCCATGGACTCGACCCCCCGACCTAAAGGGTTTGTGCGGGGCGGCGGATCTTTCCGCGTTGCTATATCAATACATAAACTCATCCAGGCACCTCCTTGCCCCAGAGGGAAGACGAGCAGAAAAACACGAAACACGATTTAGGAGGTTCCCCTAATTTGGCAAATGTGATATGGTGATTGGGGTTTCGAGGTCGTCGACCTTTGTCTGACACCCATCTGAGCAGGTTCCACATGTGATGTGGTCCAAACCTTCTCATTGGAGGTGGTTAGATCCTCTACTCTGTGACATGGTCCAAACCTTTTGGTTGGAGGTGGTTAAATCCTCCCCTTTTGCTCCTCGTGCTTTACACCCACCACAGCTTTTGGGTGTGCTCCCCTCGGATCGCCTCCGAGATGGGCGACCAAAGGCCCCGGGCTGCTCTGGGCCCCGGGCAGCTCTGGGCCCGGAGCTCTCGACCACCCACGCCACCACCTCGATTTCGAGGGCAGACGACTCGCCCGGCGGGCGAAGTGAGGAGGGTACGAGCTCGCATGTGCCTATTTGAAAAAAAGCGTGTACGAGCTTGTGTGTTTGTGTGTTTCTTTTTGGATATGCATATTTGTTGTTCTGCTTGCTGAAAACAACACTGCTGACCAAAAGATTCGCAGAGTCTGGGAAAGGCCGAGAAATCAAATCGGGTTAGACGAGCTATCTGAGCCTACAAATCTACTGTGTAGTTCTTTCAATAATTACAATAGACAGAAAAATAGGCAGTCAATTTACTGGACCTAGAGGCCCTGAAGCCAAATCTGGCTTCCGCCCGGTCAAGAGGAAATCTTCTGAGGGCGGTTGGATGAGCTAGTTCGAACCAGATCCAGGCCTTGCCATCCTCGGTTGCCCCTTCCTTAGGAGAGGGATCGAAATGTAGGTGTCCTTTTTAGGTGAGCCTTAAAAAAAATAGATGGCACTGGTGTACATGGGTTTTGTTCCATTTACCAGGGCCATCTATTTTTCCAAAAGACCACCTATGGATCAAAACGTGAGTCATCGTAAATTCCTCCGTCCTCGGGGGTTGTCAGCATAGTCGCTGTGCGAGACGTAAGAAAACCCATGCCGAGCCTGGAAAGAGAACCTCTCTATTGCCTGGCTTGACTGAATGAGTCACAACCAAAACCTGGCGTTGAAAGGAGTCTGCCGCCACCCAAAAAACTACACACACAGAGGTCGAACAGGATTCTTGCCGCAACTATATATGGCTGTGGGTCAAAATTAAACAACCCGGACCGCAGATTTTAGTTCATATTTCCATTTACCAGGGTTGAATTTTGGGCACCCAGTTTTGACCCGCAGCCATATGAACTATGACTTCTTGGCCTGACTTCTCAGGTTTTGATCTGGCTTCGACCCCTGCTGTGCTGGAAGCTTTCATCTCGGGTTCATCCATGATCCAGCAGGGCGCGGTAGCCAACCGAACAACATCGCGTACCAACACAAGGAGATTCGCACTAATCTGGCATGCACAAGGTGATGCTAAAAAAGACTTGCTCGGGATGATTCTCGGAACAAAGCCGTTGGGATGTACCAACACTAGATGCCAAAAATACTACCCCTCACCAGAATCTCAGTGCATGAGGATCCGATGGGGCAGGAATCTAAATTGGTCACCCTTTGGCGAACATGACATGGGCATTGATGTTCCCCAAACATTCAGAGGGGGGACCCAAGTCTTGAAACACCTAGCAAAGTGGGGAGCACACGGGCAATTGACATGGCTCCACTCATCTCCATCTCCCCGCAACTGGAGGCGCCCTGCTCGCGGCAAGACCAGGTTGCGCCTTCAGTGCAGACAGATCCGCATGTTGCAATGCATCCTTCGATTGGGGTCCCTCAGCCTATCCTGATCCGGAAGACACAGTAATCAACCGGCTTATGAATCTTTGGCTCATCAGAGAGTGTTGGATAAGCACAAAGGGGAACATCATCTCATCAAACTGAGGCAACCACTTGATGTTCAAAACTAAATGGGTGTGTCTGTTTTTAGCGAACCCACCCACCCCAAAAAAAAGAAGGCTTTCCTTCAGGTTTCTCACATATCCACACCAAAATTGATAAGAGGCCCTAAAAAACTCACCCTCAATGCCTGGCTGCCGCCTTGGTGGGCTGATTTACCTTGGCTTCTTACGTCCACAAGGTGCCCCTTTCCCTGCACATGTTGTCTGCAACCTCCATTTTGCTCCTTGGCTCGTTGAACAGTGGGCAAATTGCTTTTCCCCTGCTCGGTGCGCTCCCCAGCCAGTTGTGGGTAGGAGGTAAGGCTGTGGCCAGAAGAAACGCGGCCGAGTCGAATCTTGTGGCGCTTGGAAAGTGAATCGCTTCTTGTTTTTGGAAGCTGAACAAGGAAGACTACGATCCACTCTTTGCCCAAAGTGACAGGAAATGTAGTTCAATATAACGAATCATGATTCTACTGCTCAAACTTTGGTGTTTATAACATCTGGGACCTCCAGTTGTTGAGGAATTGATCTCCCATGGAATCGCCAAGTTACAGGTCGTCCTTCAGTCACAGAATCCCAACCCTCCCAACCCCTGCCAAGGACCCTTCCTACGCTTCACTTTCTTGCCTTCCTGTGTCAGTTTCCCCAAACCTGTGCCCAGATCCAAGCCCCACAGAGGCTACTCGCTTGTTTTAGGGCCATGGCCTTTCCCCTTGGCACGATACATGACTCATAGGGGTTGACGATCATCCCTGCCAGCCCACTGCAACAGGTCTTTGACCATGGCACGTATAGTCCAAAAGCGAATTTGGTCCCACCCAAGGCCTGCGACAAATGAGAGCCACCTGAGCGCCGGCCTGCCAGATGAAACCACACATGGCCACAGAGAACGGCCGTCGAGATGGACATGTTGTCTCAAAACGAATATGTCGACCTCAGATTAATCAACCTGTTAGATTGTAAAAGGGGTTTCCCAAGAGTAACAGATTGTCAGATTGCCTCCCAATTTTACTGATCCCAGGTTCTTCAAAGGCAACCCCCCAGAATGCGTTAGGGACCCTTTCGCGATTGAAAAGCACCCGGATGTTGTGACATGACCCTCTCCGTGCCAAGAGGAGCGGAATTCACTGAGAAAGGATAAGGCTGTGACGCCTGGAACCATCAGAGTGAGTTCTGCTGGATACTTGCCACGGGATGTTTGAAACCTGCCCCAAGGCCCGCCGCGGAGAAAACAAAAACACTAGACCACGGTTGGCCCGAAAGCATAACATCGCAAGCGAGGTCGGCCAAACGCTGCAGGATACCTTTTTTTCCGTACTCCATCTGAAGGCACATCTTCCGGCACACACTGCAAGACCTTGGCAAGCTCGAATGCAATCAAGCTCCAAAATCCTGACCATGGCTGCTGCGTTTGGCGGGAGCCAACGTCCACTCAGCGAGCTGCTGAGTCCGAAATACCAAATGCTTGAAGCAAAATCCTTCCCATTCGGAAAAGTTAGCACTGTTGGCTCATTGAGTGAAACAAAAGCACGCGTCAGCCTGCGTGACGCGATCTTGTTGCGGAAGGCGGAGGCCACGGCAGCAATCCAGGCTGATGCCGTCGATGGCTGGATCGCCAGCGCGCCGCCCGGCTGCAAGCGCGAGTCCAAGGAGGGAAGAAGCAGGAGCTGGGGCTGATGATGTCATGTTGTCAAGCTGCCATCAACGCAAGCATGGTCCAATTAGGGGAAAATGGCTGAAGCCGCTGCAAACATGAGTACGACGCCCGCAGTGGTTTTTCAGCCACGCGCCAGGACGCAGCCACTGGACCAAGCGTGTCATGGTCGTGATGGTCACTTGCGAGGAGTGAGCCAGGGCGCGGCCCGCGGCAGGCGCGCCTGCAACACAATGCGCAGAGGCCAAGTGCTGCAAGCGAGGCATGCTCCTACAGTGGTGCAGGCTGCGACGCACGACCCTTTTTTTCCGCTCACTCGGTTGATCGCTTTCAAAAAGTATGACCGTCTGCATGATTAAAAGCTTCGCAAAAGCCAGCAAAACCCGGCGTGCATCGGAGTTCCGCACGACAGCGTCTGTCCGAGCAGCGCCGGTGCGTTGCGAGCCTTAGCTGCCATCACTCCAGGAAGAGCACGTCACTTTTGACGGCGTGCTTGCAACCAACATCTCAGCCGTGCGCTTTTTTGAGGCCAGCTCTGGCTTCATTCCTAGCAGGTGGCACACCGTGTCTCTTTCCGCGACCACAGAGCGAACACCATCGTCATTTGCCCTGGCCATCCACTCGACATGGCAAGTCATGAGGTGTGTGTGTCGCAATCTTGGATCGGCTTTCCCACAAGCAAGCGCGGGGCGCCATCAGCCATGTTGAAGAGATGGCAGTTCTTGAAGTGGCAAAATGCCTCCACGGCAAACGGCTTGGCGCCGTCAATCTCCGGAAATGGCACCACATGGTGGGATGTCACCAAATGCTTGTCCCCGTTGATGTCAACCTCTCTGATGTCCGGGTCATCCTTCGCGACCGCCAGCATGGAGATGTGGGAGGCAAAGACGTTTCCGCGAGGAAAGAAGATGCCCAAGTCAGAGCAAGAGAGATCTCGATATGGATCTGCCACTGGCAACACAGCGCCTTCCGCGCGCTGGCTTTCCAAGCGGATCACCTTCTTGACCATAGGCCGGTCCGAGTTGTCGTAGAGTTTGCCAAGGCAAGGCCTCGCAGCTAGGAGCTGGAACTGCGAAGCCTCCGCGGGCACGCCGGCCTCGGTCTGGGAAGCGCCACTGGTCTGCGAACGACCTTGAGTCATGTTCGGAGCTGTTGCTAGTCGAACATCAAAAGGCCCCTTGAAGCACAGCGCCTGCGTGCCCTTCTCCGCAATCAGCTCCGCAAGTTTGGCTTCGTCGTCCACGCTGGCGAGCGCCGCCAACTGCTCGCCGCGAATGAGCACGTTCTCCACCGCGCCACTCCAGTCAGCAATGTGCGCTGTGGCCAGCACTTTCAAGGCAAGGTCCGGCTGGCTGGGGCAAGAGCTCGTGTCTGCTCGCTTGCACTTGCCCGTGTCCGACACTCGGCATGGCCTGTACACAGGATCTCCCACAACGCCTACCAGCCAAGCCGCGGGCATCGCCACCTCTAGCTTGTCCTCGCAAGGAGCGTTCAAGGCAAACACTACATGGATCATTACAGAAAATACGCCCTCATTGCAGGGAAAATATGCAAATTTCTTGCGCCAACATCCCAGCCTGAATAGTTCCTTGCACGGCCAGGCCACACGCGCACATGTTGGCTGCGCAGGCTACGTAGCAGGCAGACAAGTCAGAAGACAAGCGCCCGCCCACGCCGAGAGAAGGAGTCCAAGGCACGGAGATGGCCTCGCCTCGACTGGTGTCCAAAGCCCGAAGCTTGTCTGCCTTTTCACCTCTTGGATCGCAGTGCAGCCAAGAAAAGCTGTGCTTGTCACTCTCGAGCCAGTGTTCGGCTGTAGCCTCAATGTTGTTTTCTCCGCGCTTGAGCAGCAGCGCGTTGTCCACTTGCAGAACGAACCCAGCCTGGAAGTTCTGAGCCTTGTCGACATGCTTCTCCCCCCACAAAGTCAACAGCATGCCCTTTCCGGTCAAATCCTTCAGCCAGACATTAGCCTTCGCTTTCGTGGTCGGAGCCACGCCTTGCCCTTCTCCGCCAAACCAGCACGAAGCGTGGCCACGACAAGCTCTGCCTCATCCTGCCATGTCCATGAGATGAGGCAACCGTCCGTAAGAAACACGACATGGTGCCATCTGGCGCTTACATTTCGGCCATCCGCAAAACATCATCAAAAACAATAGCGTCAAACACCGACTACGACCAGGTCGAGACACCGGCGTCGGCGAAGCCGCAGAACTGCTTGGCTCCTGGCAACAATCAGCACAGCAAAACAAACACCAGCAAAACTTTCCAGATTTTGATCCTGGCCTGTGGGCACAGCTGCTCCACGACAGCGGCAGCTAGGTCTGCCTTGGTCACGTTGCTGCCTGCGACCCATTGGCGCACATCCAGCTGTCGGGCGAGTGCGCGAAGTTGGGGTTGGGCTTTGGCCGCCATCTCTTGCTGCAGCCACGCTTTGCCATGCTGGGCCGCGCCAGCCTGAAGCCTAGCTACTTCGAGCTCCATGACTTCTGTTTGAGCCAAATCTCGATGATCATCCGCAAGGTGCCACATAACAACCAGCCGTGTGCGCCATGCCCGTAAATAAGCCGTGTGCGCCATGCTCCCCGCAACTTCTTTCATGATGAGAACTCCTTGCGTCAAACTCCTACAGGGTGAGTGGCCTGAAAGCATAACTCCCCACGATGTGCGGCAAACTTGTTTAACCCCGGCCTGGCACATGCGCAAGTTGCTCTGCGCAAGTTGCTTTGCGCAAGTTGCTCTGTGCGAGTTGCAGTGTGTGCAAGTTGGCGCGAGACAGCACCAGGCAAGGTGCTCTGCGCAAACTGGTCGGTGCAAGTTGGTCTGCGCAAGTTGCTCTACGCAAGTTGCTGTGCAAGTTGCTCTGCGCAAGTTGCTCCGCGCAAGTTGCTCCGGCAAGTTGGTCCCTGCAAGTGGCTCCCTGCACGTTGCTCTGTGCGAGTTGCAATATGTGCAAGTTGGCGCGAGACAGCACCAGGCAAGGTGCTCTGCGCAAACTGGTCGGTGCAAGTTGGTCTGCGCAAGTTGCTCTACGCAAGTTGCACTGTGCAAGTTGCTCTGCGCAAGTTGCTCCGCGCAAGTTGCTCCGGCAAGTTGGTCCCTGCAAGTGGCTCCCTGCAAGTTGCTCTGTGCAAATTGCGCTCCCTGCAAGTTGCTCTGTGCAAGCTGCTCTGTGCAAGTTGCTCTGTGCAAGTTGCTCTGCGTAAGTTGCTCTGCGCAAGTTGTGCAAATTGCGCTCCCTGCAAGTTGCTCTGTGCAAGCTGCTCTGTGCAAGTTGCTCTGTGCAAGTTGCTCTGCGTAAGTTGCTCTGCGCAAGTTGCTCTAGGCAAGGCGCTCTGCGCAAACTGGCTCTGTGGCTCTGCGCAAGTTGCTCTGCGCAAGTTGCTGTAAAATGCAAGTTGCATCTTGCGACGCCCGCCCGCGGACCAGGGAGGAATCGAACCCGCGACCCGCCGGTTCCGGGAGCAGGCGCGCGAACCACGAGACAACTCCCGAGGACAACAAAAGACGCAAAAAATTTTGCACCTCGACCACGCCGATTCCCGCAGAGGGTTGCGCGAGCACCGCAGAAATCGCAAAAAAACCATGGGTTTTTGCAGCTTGACCACGCCGATCCCCGCAGAGGGTCGCGCGAGCACCGCAGAAATCGCAAAAAACCATGTTTTTGCACCTCGACCACGCCGATGCCCGCAGAGGGTCGCGCGAGCAGGTTAGAAATCGCAAAAAACCATGAGTTTTTGCACCTCGACCACGCCGATCCCCGCAGAGGGTCGCGCGAGCAGGTTAGAAATCGCAAGAAACCATGGGTTTTTGCACCTCGACCACGCCGATCCCCGCAGAGGGTCGCGCGAGCAGGTTAGAAATCGCAAAAAAACCATGGGTTTTTGCACCTCGACCACGCCGATCCCCGCAGAGGGTCGCGCGAGCACCGCAGAAATCGCAAAAAACCATGGGTTTTTGCACCTCGACCACGCCGATCCCCGCAGAGGGTCGCGCGGGCAGCTTTAGAAATCGCAAAAAACCATGGGTTTTTGCACCTCGACCACGCCGATCCCCGCAGAGGGTCGCGCGGGAACTTTAGAAATCGCAAAAAACCATGGGTTTTTGCACCTCGACCACGCCGATCCCCGCAGAGGGTCGATTTTCGTGTAGTGTCGTCGGCACTACCCCGCCGCCCTAAGAAGAGATTTTAACTCCTCGCAAGTCAATTGCACTTGACTCCTTGCACTTGCAACTTTGCACTTGCAACTTGCACTTGACTCCATGCACTTGCAACTTGCACTTGACTCCATGCACTTGCAACTTGCACCTGACTCCACTTGCAACTTGCACTTGACTCCTTGCACTTGCAACTTGCACTTGACTCCATGCGCAGCTCGCAATGACTCTCATGACTCCTTGCAATGACTCCTTGCAATGACTCCTTGCAATGACTCCTTGCAATGACTCCTTGCAATGACTCCTTGCAATGACTCCTTGCAATGACTCCTTGCAATGACTCCTTGCAATGACTCCTTGCAATGACTCCTTGCAATGACTCCTTGCAATGACTCCTTGCAATGACTCCTTGCAATGACTCCTTGCATTGACTTTCATGATGATGATTCCTTGCAATGACACTTTGTAATGACTCTCATGAGAGCAACTCAAGTGAACCCACCGGAAGAACCCTTCGCCATGCTTTCGGGAAAACTGGAGGGAATCTGGAGACAGCAGTTACCAACATGGACCCCGCCCAGTGCCGTTTAGAGAAACGGGCCTTCCGGAACCACCTCTCTTCCCCCCGATCAGAAAGGAGGGGGCACACTAAGTAGAAACAGCATTCTCTGATGATTATGGCATAATTTCGGCCGCGGCATCTGCATCCGGGCAATCATACCTGGGGCAGACTCCATCATATCACCTCAGACAGACACACAGACACACAGACACACAGACACACAGACACACAGACACACAGACACACAGACACACAGACACACAGACACACAGACACACAGACACACAGACACACAGACACTCACAGAGACACACAGAGACACACAGAGACACACACACACAGAGACACACAGAGACACACAGACACACACACACAGACACACACAGACACACACAGACACACACAGACACACACAGACACACACAGACACACACAGACACACACAGACACACACAGACACACACACACACACAGACACACACAGACACACACAGACACACACAGACACACACAGACACACACAGACACACACAGACACACACAGACACACACAGACACACACAGACACACACAGACACACACAGACACACACAGACACACACAGACACACAGACACACACAGACACACACAGACACACACAGACACACACACACACACACACACACACACACACACACACACACACACACACACACACACACACACACACACACACACACACACACCCACACACACACACACACCGAAAGTGGCAGCCTCAACGACCACTGACGCATCCTCCTTGTCCCGGACTTCGGCGGCAAGGTGTGGAGCTGGACGAAGCTGACCCCAAGCCCGCCTGGGACTCGCGGCACGGGAGCGTGGCCCACGATCTCCCAAGCCGCTCTTCGCCGGAAGCCACTGTCAGCAGTGAGCAGTTGCTGCTCGTCGGCCGCATCACCGCCCACAGCGTGCGAGCTTGGAGCATTTGCCCGCAGCAAGGCACCCGTTGGAGAGCACAATCTACCCACGGGCTTGAATACCCCGCTGCCCCATTCGAATTCTTACTGTGGAGAATGCAGCCAATCAGGCTACCCAGCAACGCTGGGTGCACCTTTCCCAGTGTCAAGAGAAACTTGAGTGGCTGGGTCAGGTCAACACGCAGCAAATTTGTTGTTTAACACGCCCAAAAACATTCGACGGGAGTGAGGGAAGCTGAAGCCTGGCACTATTTCCATCCCCAGCCCCGGTTGCAAACCATGAGCGCTCTGGATATACATTAGGTTCAAATCTACCCAAGGGAGGCTGGGTTACTTCTTTGGCGAATTTGTATCTTATCCTGAGATTTACACCTTGGGGACTTGACCATAAACTATAACCACAATCACTCAAGATTCTCATAACATAGCCACACGCCCTCATGCTTTCTGATTCCCAGCTGCTCCCTGACCCTACGAAAAATGAGCGCCCTTCTTAGGTTGGTTGGCGATTTCGTAGCGGAACCTACCAAACAAACAAACACACAACTTACCATGCCGCGGTCCAGGGCTGGCTTTATCCCCATCTCAAACTGATTTTTTCTCGCAGCGAAATAAAAACACAAACTGTCCTCGTTCGCCTCAAAGATGTTTCAGCCTCAAAGTTTTCACATGTCCTAGTTCCCCTCAAAGGAAAACCAATGGATATCTTGGCAAGGGCTCCCCTTCCGGACATGGACCCCCGCCCTACGCCTCCACGGAGGTGCGCGCGTGCTCCACCGCAAAAGCGCCGTGGCCCAGAATGGCCACGCGCCTGCGAGCGATCGGTTGGGATCCCCGCGAACCCTGGAACGATATGATTCCCCTGTCAAAACCAACAAACAAATGTTTTGGCCATCCACGGCATGAAAGCTGTAAGGCCTAAAAGGGCTGGGATAAGCCCCCTGGTCCCCATTGAAACTTTTTGACTCGGGGAGGGTGGAGGGGTGGCGGAGTTCCAGGTGCGTGCATCTAGTGGACCCCAAAGCTTTCTATCCACTTTGCAAACAAATTGAATCTCTTCGAACGTTTGCCCCACCCCTCACAAGCTAGCCCCATGTCATAGTGTTCCATCCAGGCAAGTGTGCATTCCCTTGTAGCTTCAGGTTAATACACAAGGCCAGGTATGAGAGTCCTGGCCTTCCTCCAAACACACAAAGCTCTAGGTGCGCAGAAGCCATGGACGAAATGGAGACCCTGAAAGAGGGTGGATCAGCGGGAAACTGGGTAGGAAAGGAAGTATACCCAAATGCCTGGATCTTCAACCTTACGCAACTACCACTTCTGTCACCGGCTACTTACTGGCTTGTAGGGGTGCCCTTTTCAAGACGTGCTTGGGTAACATGTCTTTTGTAGAATCCGGAATTATGGCGCGTGCGCGCACAGTACAATGAGCACTCTTCTCAGGAATTGACCAAACATCGGAAGTGCTGGCTTTGAAATCATGGTAGTGGACAACAACCCTTTCTGTGACAGACTGGGCCATCCACAAGACCACTTCATCAAATACGGGGTGCTCCCTTCGTATCACAGGACCTGACCCGAAAGCCCTGCCTTCCGCAACCCATGTTCTACATATACATACACATAAGAAAGTGTTTGCCTCCGCAGTCAAACAAAGAAACGTGGAATGCAGTATCCTTCTTGACAAGCTTCAACCGCTGTGAAGGCTGCCCGGACTTGGGCTTCTGCTACCGCCTTGCTTTTGCCCAAAGCTTACAACTGATCCACCCAGATCTCCCGGAACGTCGCTGCACCATACACCAAGGTATCTTCGCATCTGGTCTATGCTGCAGATGATCATTGGCACTTGCGATCTGCCGCACGCCAGTCCGCACGCACCATCCAGCATACGCGTGCAGCGAAAATAAGAGCAATGGCAGCTTGCAGGGTATGACAGTGGGTATGAGTCCAATGGTTCGGTGCTTCGGTGGTTCGGTGGTTCAGCGGCTCACTGGTTCACATGTGTTCTGCCGTCGTGCTGTTGTCATGCGCCCTGCTCGCACAGAGCACATCAGGTTGTTGACTGCGCAAATGTCCTGGGCGCCCGAAAAGGCAACACATTGAAAAACACGTGGGGCGTTTAGCAAGAAAACTCCTGGTCGAAAGTGTGCACACATTCTTTCCATGACAAGTGATGCAAAGGCTTCCAGATTTGGAACCAACATGTTCTGTGCACCTGGAATGCGCAGCTAGCAAGCAAATCAGATTGAAAACACACTAACACTTACCTGCCGAAACTTAACAGTACAGTTAACTGTTCGCAGGCCAAAACACATCCTGCGACAGCTGCAAAAGAAGCCGTGTGGCCCCCCCCATCCCCACCCGCCACTAACACTGTCTCCCCGTACCCCTCAGAACAGCGCAGTTCTGAACAGGTTGTAACTATCAAAACAAAAACAACCAAAAATCAGCTGAGTGGAGGTTATCAGACCACTGATGCTTGAACAACATCCGACTGGCTTCCCTGTAAAGGGAAGGAGCAGGGAGTTGGACACATTCTGCCCCGCCCGGGGCCCCATGCTTGGCGTTGCTCACGTCCACGTCGTCGGCCACGCCATAGCCACAGACCCCCTGAAAGCAGTGCTCCTGGCGATCCATGGATGCCCCCACTGACCCGCCGCATCCGGTTCTCGCCAAGGGAAACAACCGTAAGGAACAAACAAACAAATTGAGCTAACCAAGATAAGCTGGGCTGACCCGGAATGAAACCAATGGCAACCGCCTATAAAAACAGGCAACCACCATTTAGCTTTCAACAAGCGTTGGACAGTCCCTTGCCTTTAGATCCAGCGGGGCTGTTTACTAGGTGGTCATGGTCAAAGGCATCGAAGGATTTTACACTAGACAGCCTAAGCCAATGGCATTTGCCCGCACTGAATACAATTCACCGACCTAACTGAGGGATTCCCGAATGGACCTTTGTCATGGGTGGAATCATTCTGTTCACCTCCGGATCATCAAGCTCACTACACTTAGTCCACATGGATATCGTAGTGTCGAAGCTACCAAGTTACCAAGCTGAAACAAGTTAGAATTTCGCAAGAGTTCCAAAAACCTCCGGCTTGGAAGTAAACAATATAGAACAGCTTGACGCCGGGGGTTGAAAGTCTTGAAGCGGGAGGAAAAGCACCGAACGCAGACATCGTATAGACATGCTGAGGCCCTTGCCAGCTGAATGATCATTTTAGAATGCTAAATTGCCATGATTTTTGGTTGGGGATCACCTTGCATGCGGTTGCAGGACATGAACCACCACCTAAATTATGTCCAAAAAAGTGTCTCCAAATTATTCAAATTCATTCTCAGAACCTTCTTAGAAGGGGTTCTTAGAAGGGTTCTTCTAAGCGATGCGGGGTGAGTGCTGAAAGGGCGGCGTCGTTGCTCCCCAGATGCCCACTTCATTGAAGGGTCCTCAGCATACCATTTGCTGGCCCTTGGCACCTGCTGGATCTTGGTGACTTCGACGGGCTTTGCAAAACCGGCGAAGCCAACCATGGGTCACTAAACACCGCACAACCAGCATGCGAGAAAAAACACAAAACAGAAGAAGCCATCTTCTAGGTTTCCTTTGGTAGCCAGGGTTGCTTGAAATCGACCAGGGGATTGGCATGTTGGGAAGTACCAACACTAGATGCCAAAAATGCAACCCCTCACCAGAATCTCAGTGCATGAGGATCCAATGAACAGAAATCCGCCGTGAGACCCCGTCCGCTTTCCCCACCTCCGGCAGCTGCACGCGGCGAGGCGTGGGCAAGAAGCCCGGGAAGGCCATCACCTCGGCCCAGTGAGGCTGAAGCGATTCACAAACCGCACTGACCCGTACAAAGCGACTCACTTTGGGGCTGGTACAAGAGCAAAACCACGAGCCTCACAAGTTGAAGACTTTAGACTTCAAAAGTCACTCCACATTGAAACCGCGTTCATATTGCGGCTGTTCTAGTGGTTGTACAAAGGGTTCCGCAACCCTTCCGCTAAACAGAAACGTGAACAAGGCATTCCCCCGCCAGAGGGAAAAAATGGGGTGTGCAATCGCTTAGTTTGTTCCACGCGAAGGTTATATATTGGAAATCATCTCGGAGAGGGTCAGTGTTCCGGCCCTCAGCGTGGGTTGTGCAAATGGCTACGCCAACAACAAGTGTTCTGGCCGTCACCGGGTTTCTTACTTTCGTAAATACATATCCGGGTGTTAAGACAAAACCGCATATATGAATATATAGATATATATTAAACAGCCTACATGGATCGTGTGACAGGTTCTCCAAATCCAAAGCCTGAACAACAACGTGGACACAGTTGATGCTTTGGGAAGTAGGAGGTTGGCCCAGGTGCCAATAACTTTGGTCCTAGCTTGCTGGTTGATGTCAATACAAAAAGAACTCCCATCGACGGAGAACACTGAGAGTCATATCATGTTTACCATACCTGACTGGGCCAAGTTTGGTGGTGTGACATTGCATTCATGCAGCAAAATGGAAGATCAAGTTCAGCGGGAACCCGCCCAAATGCGCAAGGCTGGACCTCACTGGGCTGTCTCAAAGTTCCAAACCCCTTTGAGTTTCACGGGGGATTCCACTCAAAACAGGGCCCAAACGCGTCCCGGAGCCAGATTTGACAAGCTGCCGATCTCAGCCTCTTCCAAACAAATCCGTGTGAACCCTCGGCTAAACCACGCTGAGCCTCAACAGCGTGGCTCAAACAAATGGAGCAAAAATTGGGGGGGCTCGGACCCTCAGTTTCCGAAAATATTGGGCTTCTGCTGAAGCCAAGGAAACCAGTCACATGGCAAGCCCAGAGCAATCCCTTGGGCTGCCGTGCTTTCGCTCGAGCATGTTCTAAGCACTGTGATTGGGACTGCCGGTGTCCTTCTTATAACATCTCACAACCATTATGTGATGTGGGCAACCGTTCATCTTGAAGCCTTTAAGCCAAAAACGAAAAGGTTCAAATTCCAAACACAAGAATTGAATTTCAGCTTCACACTAGTTGGTGGTTTGGCTTGGTGCTTTGGAGGTTGGGGATGGTTTCTCATTTACCCACTACACAAATCAGGGGTCACCAATTCAACCACCGATTGGAGGCTTTTTTGTCAGCTACCATGTTGACGCAGTTTTCCGGGGGAAATACCCCCCCGTTTAATATAATGTGAGGCGCCCCGACTTGGAAACTCGGGGGCCCGGCCGCACCGAAGATGCCTGCGCCAAGGATTGTCGTCCGAAACTTGCCGACCCAAAAGCGTAGACAGCGCGCGTGGCTCCGAAGTTCCTGGCTCAAGGGTAGAAAGATGCTTCGACCCTTGAACAAAAACGCCAGAAATTCAGATATGAATAATAAACACGACATGCCAGAGGGAGATATCAATAGTAAAGGGAGATATCAATAATAAACACGACATGCCAGAGGGAGATATCAATAATAAAGGGAGATATCAATAATACACACGACATGCCAGAGGGAGATATCAATAATAAAGGGACATATCAATAATAAACACGACATGCCAGAGGGAGATATCAATAATAAAGGGAGATATCAATAATAAACACGACATGCCAGAGGGAGATATCAATAATAAAGGGAGATATCAATAATAAACACGACATGCCAGAGGGAGATAACAATAATAATGGGAGATATCAATATACAGGGAGATATCAATAATAAACACGACATGCCAGAGGGAGATATCAATAATAAAGGGAGATATCAATAATAAACACGACATGCCAGAGGGAGAAATCAATAATAAAGGGAGATATCAATAATAAACACGACATGCCAAAGGGAGATATCAATAATAAAGGGAGATCTCAACAATAAACACGACATGTCAGAGGGAGATATATCAATATTAAACACGACATGCCAGAGGGAGATATCAATAATAAAGGGAGATCTCAATAATACACACGACATGCCAGAGGGAGATATCAATAATAAAGGGAGATATCAATAATAGACACGACATGCCAAAGGGAGATAACAATAATAATGGGAGATATCAATATACAGGGAGATATCAATAATAAACACGACATGCCAGAGGGAGATATCAATATACAGGGAGATATCAATAATAAACACGACATGCCAGAGGGAGATATCAATAATAAAGGGAGATATCAAAAATAAACACGACATGCCAGAGGGAGATATCAATAATAAAGGGAGATATCAACAATAAACACGACATGTCAGAGGGAGATATATCAATATTAAACACGACATGCCAGAGGGAGATATCAATAATAAAGGGAGATCTCAATAATACACACGACATGCCAGAGGGAGATATCAATAATAAAGGAAGATATCAATAATATACACGACATGCCAAAGGGAGATAACAATAATAATGGGAGATATCAATATACAGGGAGATATCAATAATAAACACGACATGCCAGAGGGAGATATCAATAATAAAGGGAGATATCAATAATAAACACGACATGCCAGAGGGAGAAATCAATAATAAAGGGAGATATCAATAATAAACACGACATGCCAAAGGGAGAAATCAATAATAAAGGGAGATCTCAATTATAAACACGACATGCCAGAGGGAGATATCAATAATAAAGCGAGATATCAATAATAAACACGACATGCCAGAGGGAGATATCAATAATAAAGGGAGATATCAATAATGAACACGACATGCCAGAGGGAGATATCAATAATAAAGGGAGGTATCAATAATAAACACGACATGCCAGAGGGAGATATCAATAATAAAGGGACATATCAATAATACACACGACATGCCAGAAGAAGATATCAATAATAAAGGGAGATATCAATTATAAACACGACATGCCAGAGGGAGATATCAATAATAAAGGAAGATATCAATAATAAAGGGAGATATCAATAATAAACACGACATGCCAGAGGGAGATACCAATAATACAGGGAGATATCAATAATAAACACGACATGCCAAAGGGAGATATCAATAATAAAGGGAGATATCAATAATAAACACGACATGCCAGAGGGAGATATCAAGAATAAAGGGAGATATCAACAATACACACGACATGCCAGAGGGAGATATCAATAATAAAGGAAGATATCAATAATAAACACGACATGCCAGAGGGAGATATCAATAATAAAGGGAGATATCAATAATACACACGACATGCCAGAGGGAGATATCAATAATAAAGGGAGATATCAATAATAAACACGACATGCCAAAGGGAGATATCAATAATAAAGGGAGATATCAATAATAAACACGACATGCCAGAGGGAGATATCAACAATAAGTGGAGATATCAATAGTAAACACGACATGCCAGAGGGAGATATCAATAATAAAGGGAGAAATCAATAATAATCACGACATGCCAAAGGGAGATATCAATAATAAAGGGAGATATCAATAATAAACACAACATGCCAGAGGGAGATATCAATAATAAACACGACATGCTGGCTGGGTAGAAAAATGGCTCCTCAAAAACCAGAGGAAACTTTGGTCATAAGGCTCAGAGCAACCGACCTCGCAGAAGGTCAGCTCAAATAGTTTTCTAGGCGCGAAACCCCTGTTGGCAGTGAACGAACAGACCCCAAAAAAATAAACCACCATTTCCTAAGAAAAACGCCATCACCTCTGGCCAACACGAAACAAAACAAGAGAAAGGTGATTGAAGCTCTGGAGATAAATGATACATGCAATACCAAAAGCGAGTCCTCCAAATCAATCAGCTGGCAACAATTGCCATGGTGGCAATAAGGACACCCGCTATTTTCCCCGGTTCCCAGAGAAACTTTCATAATATATCGAAGGAACTCTGCACTCCAGCACTTCAATTTGCCCTGCAGGCATCCCTGTGAAAGCTCACAGTGCCATGTCGAATTGACCACTACGTACTTCTCACCACTGTAGGATGCCAGGTGATACAACATGTTGCAATACGCAGTGTCTTGACTCAAAAGGAGTATTTCCATCGGCCGGCTGCATGTTCAAACTAGAAAGCCCTCCAAATGCGCTGCATCATGTTGGCTCTCATTGCAGTTGCCCGCTTGGTTTCTTGGCATGTACAATATTTTGAAAGCAAATACTTGAATTTCAGGCGTAACATGAATGGGTTCGTATCAGCTTGCTGGTAGTTCTGCGCATGCTTGCCAGAGAAACACATTGCCATGGATGTCCAGAATGATATAAGAAGGACAACCATGACAACCACAATTGTTGGTGGTTGGTTTACTTGCAATGAGAAGCAACCGCACTTCACCACTAGCTTGCCAGCAAAACCAGCAACGCCTACGAGCTACGAGCATGTATGAGGTATGGGCAAAGCGGAATGGACATCAGCATTGCGTGGCCATGTAATGTGTTCGGAAGAAGGAATCCAAGGAGACTCAAACTCGCGTGAGATACACGCTTGTATGTACTTGCGACATGAATGTGTGTTTCCCATGTTCAAAGCTCATCATGAGGGGGAAGATGTTGGTGTACTTGATCTGAAGCAAGTCGCAGGGGCCCTCTTTTGGACCCAGGGAACAGTCGAGCTTCGCACCTTTTGCAAGGGGTCCATAATTCCGACAACCGCCCAGTCAACTGTTGACCACACGAGTCACGCGCCAAATGCGAACCCATGGGTCGCCTTCTTCGCCTTCTCCCCGATCGTCTCTCCAGCGTGCACGATATCGGGAACCCTGGCAAGAGAGGGCTATGGAAATCTGGATCTGGCATTGACCCCCTGATCTTTAAAGAAACCAACGGCAGAACGCGTCGATATCATACGCGTTGGAAATAGAGGTCCCTACAAGCCGTTCTTGCCTTCTCCTGGTAACCAGTGTGATCCTTTCGTGGAGTGTAGGTTACCCCACTGGACCTTTCTGTCTGTCATACCTAAAGCCCAAAATAGACCATCCCCAGAACTAGTTCATCACTTTCAAGGGGATTCAATTGGTATCACTTCCCAGTTGCCTGGTGTCGTGGCAACCACACTGGTATCACAGAAACTGGCACCAAGACCAAGTTGTCCACAACACCGCGCTTCGCTGCCCTGCCTCCTTCTGCACCTGCAACACTTCTGCCCCCAGACCTCAGCACTGAAGTCTGGATGCTTTGGTCGCCCAGCGGAAGAAAGCGCCAATAAAGAAAACACGCCCACAAACACACAACACACACACACAAACACACACACAACGGGGGACACTGAAAACGGGTCTTTAGGGATTTGAGGCTGCTCTATTCCATATCTTTCCCAGGGACATCTTTCAGCCAATGACCGTCGATGGGAAGGAAACGGAGGCGGATTTGTCTCAGAATAGGGCTCACAAAATGACCTTCCTTGCGGGTTCCCTTTAAATTAGACCCAAATCCAAAAATACAACTTCAAATAGGCTGCTTGAAAGCAACTAGCAGCCTTCATCCCTTTGAATCAGAATATGTCTCTTGGTGCAGGGTCCACAACATTCTCCCAACCATCGCCGCACCCAAAGGAAACTCGATAAACCTCGCGTCTGGAAGTGGTGAACAGGGCTCAACTGTATCAAGACCTCGAGATAAGCATGTTGGGAGTCTGGGCGAAGTGATGCGCATAACAAGCCACAGCCAAGTCAGTCTCCTGTTTCTGCAGAATGATGATTCTCGCCCATCAATGGCTCCGAACAAAATCGGGTGTGCGTGACCTGCGTGTCCATAGATGGACGCAAATGTGTTCAAACGCTCGCCAGCACGGGTGCTTGACATGTTAAACTTTGGCCCCAAAGGGCAGGGGTTGAAAGCTCTCTTGCAATCTCCTCCACCACTGTGTCCAAGCCAGTGCGGAAAAACACAATGAGCTGGGTTGGTTCTCACTTGCCACAAGCGAGAGTGCAACAATTCAGAACGCACGAGCAAGCACACACAACAATAGTCAGACAAATTGACAGACAGACAAACACAGACACAGACACACAAATACGCAAACACGCGTGCAAACGACGAACACGGCAAACTTGGACATCCGCGCCCACTTGAATGTCATCATGCTTGTTTCTAGGCCCTCCAGTAGAAAGGTTAGAAGAAGGGTACCCTTTTTGATGTAGTCTATTTTGGTAGGGGAACCCTCCCCCAAAAAAGGGGTGAGAAACGGCACTACTGGGGCACCTAGGTTTTGTTGTGCAATGACTCGCTGCCAAGGCTCGGATGTGCTGGCTGAGCCCGTGTCGATCCACAAAGCCCTGGCAATGAAGGAGCCAAATCAGCCGGGCCCTTGCCTTAAAGGCAGGTTGAAGCATGGCGTGTCTGCCAAGGTTAACTCTTGACCACCACTTGCACCAGTCCCTGTAACTTCCCTTGACCGTACACCACGTTTACTCTGAGCAATTGGCTTGTTGCCTCGGGATCGTTCCCTTGACGGGTGATGATCACAAAAAGTGATCATGCGCACGCTGCTGGCTTGAACTTTGAACACTTAGGTGATTTGATTTGCCTTGGTTTGCAAGCGGCTACGTGAAACACACGCGAGACTTTCCGATCACTCAGCGATTCATTCAGGCCATGGTGCACAGCTGTGCAGTTATTAACAACAAAAGAAACTGCCCCGCATCATAATCCATGCAGACTCCCCCTCCCCCCGCGGTCAGCTCTTGACAATGGCAATGGCCTTCGCTTTAGAAGTCGCTATTGACAGCTTGATGTTCCTTTCATGTTGTGCTGCGCTTCTGTCCAAGTGGCTGCTCGGCAGCCTGGTTGGGTGTTCTGCGCGCGCACATCCACTCCACGTTCCGTTACTGCATCAGGTTCCATGTTTGAATGGGAGGGGGGGAAAGGCAACCAAAGCGAAAACTGCCCGGGATCCCCTTTTTCCTTGTGGTTTCCCTTGAAACTTCAACTGAGTCCTGTATCCTCAAAATGTACCTCTCAACGGCCCCCAAACAAATTATTGAGAGCCCTCTTCAAATACTACCACTTTTGGGGACCGTCTCTGCTTGGATGTCACGCCCGACAAACCGCCTGGGCGTGCCGGAGCATCTCAACGCGGCTCGAGTAGTTGGGAAGCTCCGCCTCGAGTCCCCGGCGTTCGCGAAAACGAGGGGGGAGGGGGAGGTGTGGGACCGTCACCCCCTTCTTCCTCTTCCCTTTGAAACAAACCCGTAAAGGGGTTCCCACAAAAACACAAACCTGTTTGGTCTCCATAGGGTCACCCCCTTCAAAAATGGTGACCCTAGTTGAATGATTCAGTGGATGGTGATTGTGGAAAAACAACAAAAAGACACCAAAATTGCACTGGAGTTCCAAACGGCCCATAGTGTTGAGATTGTCACCTATGTGAAGCAAGGACCCTGCAACAAACCGTGAACCATCCCCTCATCCCATTGCTTCCCTGCTGCCCTGTCCGCAACTCCCCATCTTCCCATCCACCTCGAATCTCCCATCACGCAGGCGTTCGCATGCTCCAGGAGGAAATTCAGCAGCAACATTGGCGCAAACTATCATAACAGCCCAGATTGTCCACTCAAGTGTGTGCGTGCGAGTGTAAGAGGCGCCTTTAAAGAAGCACCTTCAAAGGTCTCCAAGGTGTTCCCGGCGCCAATCAAAAGCAGAACGGAGTGAAGAAAAACGCTTTGCATTCAACTAGACGTTTGGGGGCGGGGGGGGGGGTCAGTGCCGCCAGTGATGCATTGCCCTACAGTAGTGCGGTTCTCCCTCTCACCAACTTGGCTTTTATAGTAGCAAGCCTCCTGCGCCACAGGTAATTTGAACATTGCAGAGATCCTGGCCCTTGAGCTGGTTCAAACACTAGTGTAGGAACGCAGCTTATGGAGCTCGCCGGTTTGGAGCACGAAAAGATTTGAGCTCTTAAAATCGTATTACATGGCGTGAAGCAACTTCCTTAGACCTGTCAGCAAAGGATGGCATCCCAGCGTTGTTCAGCCGCGGCAACTCAATGGCCGGTTCAAAAGTACAACGTCAACGTCAGGTAGGTGAGGTGTTGCTTCACCCCCCTCCCCCCGCCCCCGAACATGCGAAACATGGGTTTGCCCCTTTATGAGCGTACCGTGGCTCTTTGTGATTCCCTGAAAACCACCCCCCACCACAAGTATCTTAAACACAGATTTCCACCCACACGGCTTGGGCTCCAGGCAGGGCAAGGCTCCTCCGGATAACCCAGGTAGTAGGTGCCCCGCTGGATCTGCACTTTCGAGGCGCCTCACAGGTCGTGCCCGGCCCTTCTTTGAGCACCTACTCCGAATGCCTGTCTGTAGTACTGTAGGGGCCAAACAGGGGGGGTCGCCAGATTGAGTAGTCACCAGCTTGCTTACGCGAACCCTCTGCGAACCCCAGCTGGGTTAGCCGAACTTAGCCGAACCTAGGGGGGGTTAGTGGAGGGTTAGTGGGGTGTCCCGCGCGTAGCCAGCAGGCACCAAAGCAATGCGATCCTTTTTGCGTCAAACCAGGCAGCCATCGTCTTTCAGTGGCTCACTAGAATCGGGGCCTGTCGACACACGATGCATCATCGGACAAACAACACAACACTTGAGAATCACAAAAAGACAGTGGATGGCCTGCCTGATGGTGTGCTTGGCCCAATGGATGCGACCAAGCCTCAGCCATCATCCAGCTCCAGCAATAAGCACATGAGCGGGTCATGTTGGTGAAGTCAAGCCATGCACTAGCGTACGCGTGGGCAAAATGAGGACCGCTCCCTTGCAAATCGCCCAAAGCCTGGGCGTGAGGGATGCTTGTGAACCGCAAAACCATGGTCAACTGTCAAGGCCACGGGTTGGTGTGTTGCAGGTGGCTGGTGCTCGGGCGTTGGGTGGTTTTGCTGGTGGGTTTTGCAGCGGTTGGCTTTTTGCAGCTGGCTCGTTTGTTGTCGACGCATTCTTTATGAACCTGTTCTGCTGTTGGCTGGCCTTAGATGGACATATTTAATCAAAAACACCACCCACACAACCACAAACATAAACACCCACCCACCCACCCACCCACCCACCCACCCGCCCGCCCGCCCGCCCGCCCGCCCTACCAGCCACCCACCCACCTGCTCCACCCAACCCACCCGCCCCACCCACCCACGCCCACCCACCCACACCCATCCACCCACCCACCCACACCCACCCACCCACACCCACCCCACCCACCCACACCCACCCACACCCACCCACCCACACCCGCCCGCCCGCCCACCCGCCCACACGCCCCGCACAAACCCGCCACACCGTGCCACACCCTGGCACACCCACTCGCCCACACAACTAGGCGCCAGACACGCTTGCCCTTTTTTCCAAGGAGCTGCTCATTTGAATGATTGGGCTGTATTGCGGGGTTTATATCCCTGGTCCTTGGTCCCTGGTCGTTGGTCCCCTGGTCTTTGCTTGGTCGGCGCCTTGATCTTTGGTATCATTCGTGCTAGGACACACACGGTAAAGACACGAGCGCTCTTGGAAACAAACATGGAAGCCAAGCATGTCCCGAATTGTTGGCCAGTGCTCTGTCCAAAACGATCTTGCGGATGCACCCCTCACACCCCACTCTCCCACACCCCCACACCACCACACCCCCACACCCACACTCCTTATATCCCTGCACATTTCATTATTGATGTTGAACCAAGATTGCGCTTCTGACCGTGGCTGCATCGCTGAACATACACCAATCACAATGGACAAAGGCAAACAGCAGCAGAGTATCGCAATAGCATTGCTGCTACTCTAAGCTGGCAACATGGCAGAATCTGATTGACGAAGGCCGAGACGAAGCCCTGCGAGCAAATGCCAGTGTGTGAGACTTAATTAGACTGAGCGCCAGGCTTGGACCCTCCTTGCAGTTGATGGACCACCTCGGACTCCAGATAAACAAAGCAGGACAGGGAAGCATCATGAAGACATGCTCTTTTCGCCAGCGCTTGGCACATTTTGACTTACATCGCGTGCTCGACCTGACAACAAAAAAAACCTATAATCACGTGGCCTTTATGCAGGGCAAAGCCGTGAGACCACGGCGTGACTCAATCCGACTCAACGTCGCTCAGACCGCCCTTGCCACTCTTGGGCTTTTGAGGGCTGGACATTTTCAACTGCTTGGCCCCTGTTTCAGGAGACCCTTGCTTCTTGGTTGTCTTCCGGCTCTTCCGTGGCGGGGTCTTGACTTCAGGCTTCTCGTCTAAAGTCCCAGCGTCAGCGCAGTCCTTCAGAAACAGCGGGCCAGCAATCTTGATGTCCGGGGACTTTTGCAACAATGACGAGACGCTCAGGGAAACCAAATCCCTCTTCAGGACTGCTTTGGCGAACGAGTGACCGAGGACCAGCTCTGTGTCATCACCGCAGATGCAGTCCGGGAGTGGCAGGACTTCTCCAGTGGGGACAAACCGCACGACCTTCTCACCGCTCTCATCATCCTCCAATCGCCAGTAGCTGTGGGCAGACCAGAAGGCCTACCGGGCAAAGCCCAAGTTTTCAAAATGCGACAAGCCCTAACATCCAACATTAAGCACTATTGAACTACAACATGTGACACGCGGCATTGGTGGTGGATTGGTTCTGCTTCAGGCCTGTGTGGTTGCATCCCCGTCTGAGTCAAAGAGCCAGTCTTTGCAGCGCTCCCCATTGCGGACCCAGCGGTCGCGGAAGTAGTCCTTCAAAGGCCCAACCTTCTTGGTTGGCAAGGCCGAGGCAGGGTCCATGTTGGTGAGATATGCCAGGATTGACCCGAGGTCGGCTTTCGGCGTCTTTTTCGGCAAGCTCTCAATGAAAGCGCCCATGGATGGAAGGAAGCCGGACACGAGCTTGACCACGTTGTCCCTGGACAAAAGGTGGACCTTGTTTTGATAGGGTGGGAGCTTCTCCTCGGCCTCCGATTCGTTCTCCGACCCCGAATCCCAGGACCCTGACCGCACCTGACAGAGCATGGCGCTCGTTGCCTCAGGATGCTTCTCGCACCAGTCCATGAGTTCCTTCAAGTTAGCCTCCTGCGCGACCTGAGCTTGCCAGTGGGCATTATCCTTGCCCATGCGCTTCTGCTTCTGCAACAACTTCAAGTCCTTCATCGTCTCGGCTTTCTTGAGCTGGCCGGCTTTCTTCCCAGCCATGGCCACAAATGATTAAACGCTACAAAAGTCAGGCCTCTCTGACAAATGCCTGAAGCAGCAAATGGCGAGATGCAAACATGCTCTTGCGCCGCGCGATGGCATGAAATGTGAGACAGCATGCGCATGCGTGCTCGCTGACACAAGCACGCCGCAGCCTTTGCGACGCTCAGAGCGTGGCCCGTTGACATTGACCGTGCTGAATCTCCAGACCTTGGGGCAGCCCTGCGTGCTCCCTGCGCTGCGTACACCCAGACACTGTGGCCACTGCAACCTTGACCTCTTCGGGGAAGGCGGCCGCACAACTAGCCCTATGACCTGTGACTCGCGCAAGATGCCTCCACGGACTGCGCGCATTGCAGGGTAAAAGCCTGCAAGCAGGCAAGTGAGATTAAGCAGGCAATCAGATCAAGCCAGTCAGCAAGCATGGCTGCAACAAAGAACGCAGTGTGCAAACTGCCCGGAATCTTTTTTTCGCGTGCCACAGGCTGCAAATCTTACCTCTGCCGGGCTGAAACAAGAACACGTGGCTGTGAGTTCGACCACTGCTATCGACAACTTATTTTGTTTCAAGCTGCGCTTGCCATCCTTAACGTTGGGCGCTGGAATGCTGCAAGCTGTTTTTGTTGCGGCTTAGGCTCCTTGTGATAATGAACAGGTTTTCCCGAACGCCAACCGAACAAGTGACCTGACACATTAAGCTGCAAGTTTTTCCCTGAAGCTATTTGAACGTTAAAGGTAAATACAAGTGGCCAATGGAAACAACCAAATAGACGACTAATTATACCAAAGCCAGCCTCACAGGCAGAGTCAAGCAGGCCAACTGAAAAATCAACTTGAATACCCTCCCCAAACTTATGATTAAAAGCAAAGGGATGGCAACATGTCGGAGATTCAAATTTTCAGCTTTCCGCAAAGCAGTTTTCAAAGGCAAAGTGAAGGCAGCCAATTAGCTGATTGGAACATCGACTTGAAAATTTGCCCCGGAAGCAGCCTAGATGAAAACGTGCGGGCAGCCAAGTGGAAACGGAGGCAGCAAACTGGCAAATCTAATCATGGAAGCAAAGTCAAGGCGGCCAACTGGGAAATTAAATCGAAAGCTTTCCTTAAAAGCAGTTTTCAAGGCACAGTCAAGCGGCCAATGGCAACATCCAATTGCAAGTGTTCCACGAAAACAGCCTTAGATGAAAAGAGCAGGCAGCCAAGTGGAAGCAATTCAAATTAATTGCTTGAAGCGAAGGTAGCCAATTGGAAAACCAAGCTGGAAGCCTTCCCCAAAGACCCTGCTGAACGGCAGCCAAATGGAAAACAGACCCGGGAACTTCTTCGAAACATTTATTTGTTTTATGGCTTTCTTATTGTAGACCACTCTCATGCCACGACATTCTTGAAGTCGAACGGGCAGTGGCAGTTTGGGTGAAACATTTTGTGCCTCTCCCAGGCGCCTTGCACAACCGATTCCACTGGCGCTGACTCATTCCCGCTTGGCCCCCAAGACCTGCTCATACTCCATCCACTTTTGTGGAAAATCCGCCAACACTTGTTAAAAGTGTCACGGTAGCACCGATAAGAGCCATCTGGCAGCCACGCAGACACACGCTCTGCATCGAAGACCCTGAAACTTGCAAAGTTGACCGGCTTTCGCTTGACAGCTTTTGCTTTGGACCCTGCTTTGCGCACGCGGCTGATTGCCCCTGCAACGTCCAAAAATGCCTGATGAGAGGCCTTGGCTTGCTTCAAGGCATCTTGCACTTCTTGTTGGTCTCGAGCGTGAACGAGTTCTTCGAAAGCTGGCTGCTTCAGCAAATCGATGAGGTCTTGTTTGTCGTCCGCGTGTCTATGGTGCAAGTTGCTCTCCATGATGTCAGCAGCCTTTTCTGGTGAGACCTTCAGCGCCTTTTCAACGCAGACCCGCAAAAGTTCCCCTACGAGATGACTGTCTTGGACCGCGGCATCCTGGGCAAACTCTTCTTTTGCCAAGAGCTTCAAGATGCTGGCTGGCAAATCCCAGTATGCGTGCTGGGCACTATACTCCAGAAGCGGGACCTTATTGCGGGAATCTTCGTCTGACTTACACACCAGCGGGAGAGCAGACAGGTCTCTCTCTTTGTGCCTTGCAAAC